TGTAGAACATAATCTTAAAAAACTGTGTGTATTATTATTGGTTTAATTCGTTCGTCGAAAAGCGGATTGGTACCTTAATTAATACTAGTGGGCCACTATCTCTGAAATGTAATAATAAATATAAAAATATGTCTACATAAATGAATATAAAGGATATAATAATATACAGGATATGAATAATTAAATATTTTAACTATTCATATTTTAAATCTGTGGACACCTTTTTTCCATTTTAAATAATATTTAAGTAAATAATTCCATCATATTGTCTGCTATCTGTAGATAATGTTGAGACAAAAGAATATACCTAAAACAATAAAAATTATTGTTGTTAAGAATAAGACGTAACATGTAACTGTGAAAACCTTAAATTACTATTCAAATGAAATCTAAATCATTAATATCCACTTAAGGGATACTTCTAACTATAGACTTGGTATAACGTAGTCACTTATTAAGATTCTAACATTGTGAAACTGAATATTTTTTACAAAGAAACATGGGTCAAATGACCAAAACAAAAAAAAAATGTGCTTATAAAGGTAATGTGAAAGAGAGATTGTTTCTATTAGTATTAATACTTCAGAAATTACCAAAAAACCTGTAACAAACTTAAGTTATGATGTTAAACTGTTATTGTTTTATTAAGGAACCCTTAGTGTGTGAGTCCACACACTCATACTAAGCCAGTTTTATTTGATACATATTTAAGAATTATTTCGAGATGGTCACTTACTTTGTAGGTCGTCCCAAATTAATTTTATGTGTATGTTTTTTAAAATTACATTTGTTACAGTATGTTAATTAACGTAACCCATTTCTTTAAAAAAGGAACAACCTATATCTGTATCAACGGCAGTACACAGTACAAAATATGTACATACCTATTATTATGTAGTGCCCTTGGTACAGATACAGGTTGTTATTTTTTCGAAAATTTTAATTTAATTTTTTATTTATTTTTAGTAATATTAAATTTATTCTAGAAAAAATTGAGATTTTTTTAAAAATGAACACTAGGACTAATTTTATGTAATGGATTACGTTATTTAACATACTTTTACATTTCATTAAGTTTCATATATGTATCTATAATATATAGGCATAGCTTGAATTTTACATCTGTATATGAACCAAAATTCCTTTATTTCCTAAAAAAGAATTCCCAAAAGACTAGTTGGTCTGATTTTTTGCCAGGTTGTTACGCGATTATAACGCCAGTACTGATCAATAAGATTTACTTCCATGTTAGTCCCAATTTAATTTTGTAATTATTAAATCAGCCACTTTTTTTACATTGCAGAAACTACTTGTTGCTAAGCAAAACGCATATAAACGTGATTTCGTACAGATCCACACTGGAAAATAATCTTAAATATGCTAATCGTAGTAGTACTGGTAATAATGTTACCACTACTTTTTTATGCAACTTAGAATGGCAAACAAGCTGACGGTCCACCTGATGGAAAGTGGTAACCGTCGCCTATAGACATGAGCAGTACCATGGACATAACAGAGTATACTGTTTCGCCCATGATACCCTCCATGCGTTGCCATTCCGGAGGACCTATGTGTTATTCCTCTGTACTCTGTAAATGTACTGCCATATCATACCTTGCAAACCGAAACACAGTTATGCAAACACAAATGCTTTACTATAGAAACACGAATGAGACAGAGGTGCCCAAGCAAACGACTTTTATACAAAGTCTCCCTCTGGTACAATAACTATTACTACTAGATATAAGTATCAAGAAATATTTTATCATTTATTGTTTTATTTCATGTGCTCACGACTAAATTCGCTTTATACAGAGCAAAATGTCACTACATATTTTTTCACAACACATATTATAACGTAATAATATTAAGTTCTAATACTATCTCTAGTTAATGCAGATAGTAATAATAATTAAAACAAAAAATTAATAATAAACTCTTTATTGCGCACAGTAGAGATGTATACAAGGAGTATTTATACAGAATGTGCATATACAAAAGGCGGCCTTATCACCAACTATTATATATATATTTACACCAACTATTTCCTTGATCTGCTTGATGTAACTATGCCTTGTCCCTCTTCTCCTCCTTCCTTTTATCTTATCTTCTATTAGAACGTTCATAAGTTCGTCATGATGTATCAAGTGTCCTAACATTTTTTCCCTTCTAATACATAACATGAAACATACATACATAATATAAATAATAGTACATAAACATAAATATACTAATGTATTATCTGTGCTACAGTTTAACTGTTTTAAAGCTTACTTTTAACGATCATAAAGACCTTGACCTCACCTTCCTATGGTTGCTGGTTCGATCCCCGAATAATACACACATTTATATTCATGAGTATTCCTATTGCTATATATATATATATATATATATATATATATGATTAAGCATGTATTTAAAAAAATATTTAAATATATCTATAGATAGAACAAGCTTTGTTTATTTTTTACTAGATAGCGCTGAATATTATGTCTAATAAATAAATAAAGTAAATATACTTCATTTTCAGCATCCACATGCGTTACAACTCCTTCTGTTATTGTAATGTTAATATCACAGAGTACATTTTGTGTTAGTATTTATAGTAGATGAAGTAGAAGATATTTATCATTCTAAATAACAACTTTATTTACATAAGTTATGTACCGACATGTAATTACCGACAATAACTGCGTTTGACATGGTTTTTATTAGTATTGACTTATTGGTAATAACGTATTCGTATTGTCTGTCACGACGTATGTTATTTTGCACTTTTGAAAAGATATAACTATAGACGTACTGAGTCATAGTATGAATAATCAATATTAATTTACGACTTACAATATTATACATAGATTCATCGCTTATGGAAATTCATAATGTTTATTACCGGTATTTGTCGTAAAATTTCTTTTGCGCATTTTTAAAATGAAAGCGGACTGTCGATACTACACTACACTTTGACATCCATGGAGTCTGTCTTGCGTTGCTATTCCTAAGTATGAAAAAAATACGACGGACTATGCTTAGAGGAATTGTTCAATATGATGCCCATGGCCACATTCTTCCATCGTATACCATCTAACTCGCCATCAACAAGAAGTTCATCCTCATACGTAAAAGCCAGAATGGTCGCATACAGCGCGGTTTCAGAGATGTTTCCTCCCACAAATGCTCAGGTTATGAAATGAGCTCCCCGTCAATGTTTCTTAAGACACTACAGCTCTTCCTATATTCTTCAACAAAAGGGTAAAAAAAATTTTTTTCCCTGCTATTACGGGCGTCCAAAGGCTACAGTAAACACTTTACATACAAGCAGGCGACCCATCTGGGTCGTCTACTTAAGCCGTAAAGGCGTGACGTTAAGATATAACAAACTAAATGAACGGTCCTGTACCACCGACATCCACTGACTCCCTGTAATGCATTTGAAGTTGTCTCGCCATCTGTATTTGCTTGTACGGAGTCGAAACTCATAAACTGTTTTCCCCATCGATTGTTGGTTCTTCGAGTTATGACTAGCCCATTGCCACTTATACCCAACCAGGTCGACCTCCTCGCGGTTCCCCATGGAAACTATCATGGTTATTTCCTGATGAATTCATCATGATAGGCTAACTGGCCTGTTTTCATTCTCATCGATCAACCTTCACTGGTGCTCCCAGCCGCCAGCGTATCCCGTTATTGCAGCCAGGGTTACCATTCCATTCTCACCCATAAAAAAAGCCCATTGCCACTTCATTTGCATTGATACTTAATCTGCTTATCCTACGGGCTATGCCGGCCCTCTTTCAAGATCAAATGCCGGTATAATTTACATTACGAATTCACATAAACAATTAATTCGACGTACAAAGTCATGGTTAAAAACTAGTATAGCTATAAAATAGACACCTCCAAGCGTTGACGTGATGACACGTCGTAATATCATTGCTAATGTCAATGTCACGCCATAATCGCCGCTAAACAACTTGCAATCAGTGAAATGACAGTTTTCTAGCCGTTTCCCACAGTTGTCGGTGTAGTGTCACGGCTCGTTTGAGCTCACTGTTATGTTATAAATACATCCACAAAGTGGCGCTTTATCGGACATTATCAACAATGTATTGATTTAAATGCAGAATAGACACTACGGGATAAAACTAAAATAATTTTCTTTAACGTCTTTTTTCATTACCACCATTTCAATCGAATGGGTCATACACACCCCAGAATTGTCTGGCATCCACCTTGATATATGAGCGAAGCTTTCAGTTATAAGCAAAGACATATAAGCTAAGAAATACACATGTATCTTTTTAAAGGGCCAGGTCACCTTAAGAAGTAATTCTTAACTAATATAATAATATAATATAAATGCGAAAATGAGTTTGTGTGTTACACTTTCACGTCTAAACCACTGGATCGATTATGATAAAATTTGGTATAAAGATAGATGGAACCCTGAAGACGGTTATACAATTATACGGTTACTTTTTCTCACAGTTCTTCTTCAGTCTTAAATATCTTAAGTTTGTATGGGGGATTCAAAATTTTTTTCTAGTTTTTTGATCCATTCCATAAACCAAAGTAATCCGAGAGATAGCTGTAGGCATATTTAAATTTAAAATACTTGTGGAAATGTAGGCATATTGAATATTACGATCACTGCAATGGCAAATGCCCATGACTGTGTCATCATAAATTATAGTCGTGAATTTTTTTTTCATTTTTATTATTTTTACGTAGGTCGAACACGTATAGTAGAGACATGAACTCATAACACAAGTGTTAAATGACACATTCTAAGCACAGATGTGAAAATTTGTTAAGATATTTTGATGTTTGTTACCAAATAGATAACGCTTAAACAATTGAACGAGTCATTTCAGCGTTATCTATTCCATTGATTTGTATGAAATTTAGTACCAAGATGAACCACATCATAGAAATAATTTTCATCCTAATTCAGGCAAGGGACATCACGGGAGTCTTATACAAATATCTTAACATTCCAGATATCAGAGGCTAGTTTTGTTACTAGCGTGGAGGAAGCATTGAGTCGCGACCAATGCACCCAAACGCCGCCAAGTGGCAAGCCCAAACAGCGTTCGTTACAAAGGTACCACACGTCAGACCACCTGTACGATCGGTCCCACAGAGCCTACAGACAGAAGCACGAGCACCGACCGAAGAGTTTGGGGCTGAGCGATTCATTCGCCCTGTTCGGGAAGCCACCTTACTATGACAGCGACCCGCCACCAAAGTGAGTTATTGATTCATGAATATTTTTTTTATTATATGTAGAAACCACATCTACCTATCCTTTAAAATCGAAGCTCTTAGTAAGGATGGATAATATATAGCAGTATCTATGTATTGTAGTTACCATATCTATTCTATATATTGACCCAATAACAGATATATTAACTATCGGTTTTCAAGTATCAAAAAAAAGAACCCGCTCGTAATTAATATCGACCGGTATCACGATGGATGGTCATCAATGTCCAGAAGAACACAATATATAGATATCGGATATTAGCCATCTCAAGCTGTTAGTCATACGTGAAACTAAGAAACTAACCATACTAGAACAAAAATTTCAAGACATAAAAATTTTAAAATGGCGATTTTTCGCCTCATGTACTGTGGACGAACAAATAGACGAGTCAGGAAATGATTATTAGTAATGCGGACTACCAGTCCCATTGCTATCAATATACCTTGTCAGGTCGAGCTTTAAATGATCCCGCCTGGAAACAATCGTGCTGAATTCCAGTTATATATATCATGATAGGCTGATGCCCTGCCTTTTCATTCTCACCTGTCATCATGTCAAAATATTATGGTTTCATTTTCAAATGAAACCATAATATTTTTCACCTTAGTGAAAAATATTATGGTTTCTTAAAACGTGGCTCGATAAATAACAAAAAATATAAGTCTCCCCTACTACTACAATTTTCTACTACTACTTATTATTTCTACTACAAATTTTCAATACATCTTTTTTTGGAAAAAAAATACGCTTAAATTCACTAGTAGAACACTCTCTTAAAAAGATATTAATGATTACGGTTTCTTCTGTATATACCTATTAATATTTATATTTAAATTTTTTTTATTCAAATTATAATGCCAAACATGCTAACGGCTTACCTGATGGAAAGTGGTAACCGTCGCCTATAGACATGAGCAGTACCATTACAGACAGACATTATGAATGAATGAAAATTTAGAAAATTTATTTCAATAACCCACAACACTTACATGTACTTAAATTACAAGTAATAACAACATAAAAAAAGTATAGAAAAACATTTACATACAAGAGGTAAAAAAAACATTACAATGTATACTGTTTCACCCATGATACCCCTCATGCGTTGCCATTCCTGAGGGCTCAGGTGTTATTCCTCTGTACCCTGTAAATTCACTGCCATACCCCACCCTTCAAACCGAAATACAGCCATGCAAAATTAAATTAATGTGTATGTGAAAAAATATTGTAGATATCCAAAGAATTTTTCAAAATCTTCAAGCCCTAAAATAGTCATAATATTTCATGTACTTATATTTGTTTTCGTGACAATATTATTATTCGTAGGAGTTCATAATTTTACGTAACATAATAACATTGGTCAAATATATAATCTTCATTATCTACTAATAATATGTAATGAAGTTACCTAGTGCCTACTCAATCATAATCCAATATTGTTCGTTGTGTAGGTGCTAAATGAAACTCAGCGTCGGGTTTTTGTTAGTATAATTCTGGGAAAATCTATTGTCGAATAATAACTCAATTAGTTTATTTTAATTTTGCTATTAATAAAAATAGATAATATACAGTTCATAAATAATTATATATTATTATATAATGTAAAAGTGAGTTTGTCATTTTTTGATAAAAATAAAAAAGGCTTCAAGAATTTTCATACAATTTGGCATAGGTACACGAAATATTTAGCTTCAAGAAGGGCACTGTCGATATTAAATTATTCAAGGAACTGAACGGTTTTTTTTAATGGGTGAAAATGGAATGGTTACCCCACCTGAGCTAAAGGGATAAACTGGCGGAGCACCAGTGAAGGTGATGAGAAAGAAAACAGGCCAGTTAGCCCATCATGATGAATTCATCAAGAATTAACCATCATGGTTCTCAGGGGGAACCGCGAGGAGGTCGACCTTGTTGGGTATATTGCCAGCAATGGGATTCTTAGTCTCCATTACTAACAATCCCTTTCCCCCCGGAACTAAACAGTTAAACCATGAAAAGGACAGTATAAAAATGTTAAATATTAAATTCACTATTTCAAAGTTATTTACAAATATATTTTATACTCACAGTCTAATTTAAAAAAAACTCCAACTGGGTAAATCCCCAATACTACAAGACGAATTCAACACGAGTTAACATAGTTATTATAAAAGACAAAAGTATAATTTTTGTTCGATAGAGTTACAATAGTAATAATAGTAAGTGCCACACAAACACACCAATCCCTTGGTCCTCAAGATAGGATAGTAACCAACCAACGAAATATCCATCATCATCATCATAGTCATCTCTTTACCCGCCCTATATTGTGTGGGCGGGCGAGGTAGGGGCCTCTGGGTAAACCGCTCTACCCAGGCTTCAACTCCGGAGGCAACAACCTCCGGGTCGCTGGGTTCTTCAGCCGGCATACACTGATGGTCTGTGTATGCCGGCGTGGTGTCTTCTTTCTTCGCTCTTCGCGGGCCTCTTCTCTGCTCTTGTTATTTTTTTTTTTTATATTAATAATGTCGAAATATCCGAGGACACAACTCAGAACTCTCATACTAAAATCAATTTTCTATGTTGGCCGGAAATCGAATCCACAACTTCATTTGCGCAAATAAGTAGGTAGTTATATACATGGACTACTTCTTATAACAATCAATTATTAAGTCCCGTTCATGCAGACAAATTCGCAGACATAACTAGTTAGCATATACTCTTATAAGTCCTCTAAAAATACAAAGCCATCTTTGTGGTATACAGAAGTGCTAAATGTTTGTAACATTTACGTTCAAACGTAATTTCCAAGTTAATAATTTTGTGTCTATAATAACATCCATTTTCTGAGTAACACCATGTTTTATTTAGCTATCTAATTGGTTGGTATAGTGTTATTGACCATCTTAACAGTATGACAAATAAGTACCTACCTATATCCAGCATAGGTAAAAACGAGAACTATGGCTAATCTTTAGACCAGGCGTTTGTAAACTTATATATTTTAAAAGTCACTTTAATCTTTATTCTTTATTCAATATTTATTAGAAACACTTTATTCTTTTCTTGTTTCTTTCTTAATTTCGCGGAACCGATTTTCGATGATTTTTTTTACGGAACTCATAAGTTCCGCGAAACTCACTTTAGGAATCGCTGTTTTAGATTACGGTAGGTAAAAAAAGAATAATATTTTTCTATGGTACAGTCAGTATCAAAAGTTGATGAAAACTTATATATATATAGACTTCCAAAACCCATAAACTCCGCTGCGTATATTACTTGCTCAACAAGCTTAGCACGAAAATTGGATAAATATCGTAGATCTAAAGTTAATATAAGTACAAAAATTAGGGCATTTAGAAATCTTATTTTACGTTAATCAACTTCTGTTAGTGACCAAGATAGTAGTATGGATAACATTAGTAGGTACTACCAGAATGTGGGTGGGGGCAAGAGAATTGTTAGAATTGGGAAATAAAAGCCCCATTGCTAGCAATATACCTTATCAGGTCTACCTTCACGTGGTTCCCCTGAAAACTATCGTGGTTCATTTTTGTGGAATTTGTCACGATGGACTAACTGACATGCTTTCATCCCTACCTATCATCTGTCACTACAGCCCCGTTGGGGGGAAAGGTATTGTTAGTAATAGGGTCAAATAGCCCCATTACTAGCAATATACCCTGTCAGGTCGACCTCCACGCATGGTTCCCCCTGGAAATCATCGTGGCTAATTCTAGTAGAATTCGTCAGGATGGGCTAACTGACTTGCTTTCATCCTATATCATTAGTCATCTCTCACTGGTGCCCCGCCATTGTATACCGATAGCGCAGACGGGGTTACCATACCATTATCACCCATTAGAAAAAAACTGCAACCCCGTCAACGAATACCGATAGCGCAAGTGAGAGTACCATTTTATAATCATCTACAAAAACAAACCTATGTACCAATAACATAATTGTTACGCCACTACGAACAAAATAATAATACCAACTATCTATGAGAGCTTCATAACAAAACTTTATATCATGTTAAACCAGTCAAAACTTTATAACATAAATTACAAATGCCTCGTTAGCAACTTTTTTGACAGAATACGTGTATTCACAATTTATTATTTAACTAAGGGTAGTTTAACTAACTGTGAAATTGTTATACCCTCATCCAAGTAGGTGTTTTCTTACTTAAATTACAAAAAAAAATTGCATCTAAAGTGAGTGTTTTCTATCTATCATCAATGTTTAATAAATATTTGGTTTATAAAGTTAAAATCTAATATTATAATAATCTATTATCTTATAATAACATTAACTGCGAATTAATCTATAAAAAGAATATATTTTAAGAAGTAATTTGAACATAAAAATGTAACGTTTTAAGGTTTGATTCTCTTATTTCATATAAACTAAACATATAAATATTGTGTAATTAAGAAAATTCGAAGTGTTTGAGCCCCGAGTTAGGAGCGAGCCCGAGTCTAACGCGTTACTGAATTTTATTTTAAATATAGTTGCGTGCATGATTTCATTCTTGTGTCACTCCTAATAATCGATTTTATTACTTGTAAAAATAAACAATAATACTGTTATAATTATGTCTTATGAAAGAAATTATTATGAACAATAAGTTATGTAAAGATTTACATACTAATTACTGGGTATGCAGGCATAGCACCTCAGTCCTCTGAACACGGTATCGTGAATTTCACTGTGCATTGTTTAATACCGTAGTGCTGGACATATCTTTAGGTCGTTACTATTTTTCATTAGCTGGGTCGTCGGGTTTCGAGACACTCCGAGTCACTCCGAGTCACTCCGAATTGTATAAAAGATTTTTTTTGTTGTCAGATTTAAAGTAAATGCAACGGACAGTCCTACAATTTCGATAACGCCAACACACAGTCTTGACTACGTTCCGAAGAACGGAGGAAGTCCGAACGGCTGTGCCACACCTAACGGAATGGTCTCCAATAAATCCACTACGGCCGTGTTGCTAAGTCCTGGATATCTTAGCCCTTGTCAATGTAACCAGTCAATAAAAGTAAGTTTATTGAATTGTAAAGCAGACTTCAGTTATAATTATTATATTTATTTATTTTACATTTTATTGCACCAAGTAAAAAAATAATAAATTTAGTAAATATTAATGAGAAGTGATAGAAAACGCGGCCACTAAGCAATCTCTTCCAGATAACCTTTTTTTATATTTAATATGTAAAACTGGTTAATACTATAATCACTGCCTACTTAAGATAGTAATATAAAAACTGTATCGTGGCCGCGACTATAATATTATTACAACAGTCCAATTCAAAACATTTTGTGGACTCAATTTAACTTTTATATCCCAGAATTTAATTTAAGTATGTCCAACGTGTAATAAGGCGAGGTTACCGACAACTTTAGAATTAAAATTCTTCAGTTTTCTGGTTGCTCTAGTTTGCATAAATATAAATTAATAAATAAAATTTAGTCGTCCCTTTTTTACCCAACTTTTTATTTTTTCGTACCATTTTACAAACATTATATTTACTAATCGTTATAAACACAACAAAAAAAAAATAGCCAAACAAGTGCAGCTGTTCTCAAGTAATATGTATACACATTCGGCAATTGATTTATAGTTTATTATTTATTTATTGAGAAATAAATAAATAAACATAAATAAATGTCATTTTTAAATGAATATTTTCCATTATTTTCTAGTGATGACCTAAATTGAACTTAAAGACTCTGTTACTTATAAGTATACTCAATGCTTAAGTAGAATCGAGATGTAGATATTAGTATTATATCTACTTGAGTCTATTTTTACACTTTATTTAGGGATTGAATTAGAATACAAGAGGCTTTTATTCTTTACACTCATCTCTTGTTTCATACATTTAACACCATCACCGTGCTCTCACGATACTTGCCAAACTCAAAATTTTTGATCTGCGAGTATCCAATCATGATGATCAGTTTAGACCTTACTCGGTATAAACTTATATTTTTGCACTGAATTTCATAACCTATCCTTCCACATTCTTCCCATTTGCTGGAATTATGTGCATTGTGCCATATATTACTTGTTAGGCATAGCATTAGGTTGTCTTAGCATACTGTGACTACAGTATTCGATATTTAAAATAAAAATTAAATTTAAAATGTATAAATCGAAGTACAAAGAATTGCCTGTGTGAATTGTAACAAATAAAATGTCAATGCCCGGTAGCTGCCAATCTATTAATTAAACAAAAAATTCAATTGCAGAGTATGAGCGAGGTAGCGTTGACGATGCCGACCTCACCAGGATGGAACGAGGAGACGCCAGCGACAGGCACAGGCCTCTCAGATGGTTTATCGTGGAGAAGATTACACATGTCTAGAGCGAAACTCAAGGCGACTGCCACCACATCGGAGTTACTATCAGGTATATAAAGTTTTTTTTTATATATATATTTCGTTTCACGGCATGGCGTCGGGAATCACCAGTTACATAATTTTAGTCCTAACATATTCCATAACAAAAACTAATACTTCAAACATTATGATCGCCTGTCCCTCTTCTGTCAAATTTCGTGATTTGTTGTTAAGATTGTCTTTTATCGTATGCTAATTAGTCACTTTTAATGATTGCACAAAGAAGTAGACACAGGTTTGATTAGATTTGACCTAGATTATGAGTTCTTACTTAGCTCTTATTCTTTTAGTCTAATCGGCCTTTAGATATCTTAAGAGCTCGTTATCAATCGAATTATGTTACCAACATACCAACTCTACATTTATTTTCACTTTTACTTACAAAAATATAATCCCAATTTATATATCTGTATTCATTCGATGTAGTTTTAAATTAATATGTAGTTTTACCTACCACCATCTTGTAATTTACTTGACGACGTCTATACAAATTGGCACATTATTTAATTTATAATTAATTTAAAAAATATATACATAATTAATTTATAATGAATTTAAAATAAAAATTAAGCACCATAACGCTGCTTAAGTTTTGTCGTTATGTTTTGTCTTGTTATGACATTAATGTAGTGTTGAAACTTAGGTAAAATATAATTTTATTTTATAATTATTTTTAATTGTACATAACTCTTCTATCACTTTTATTTATTTTATAGTAGTTTTGTTGACTACTTATAATGCATAATCCAAAGTGTATACTTGATACCAGCAGGTTTTTTTTTATGTTTTTGTTAAAATTATACAATGTAATAAGTAGTTAAAAAATTAAATAAATATATGTTCAAGAAATTCAGTGACTAATATTCATGCATGTCATTTGATGTAGCGAAATCTTGTAAAGTTGAAAAATGCAACATCTTATCTACAATGTTTCTGGCAAATAAATTTCATTTCATTTCGTTATATTAATTGTTATATTAAATTAATCAATAGCATTTATGAAATTAATTATATTAATTTTCACGTACGTTTATTTCCAGGTTTCGCTATGGTGGCAATGGTTGAATTGCAAATTAACGAACCCACGAACGTTCCTGAGTGGTTGTTCGTGATGTTTGCCGTATGTACCACTGTACTGGTAGCAGTCCATATATTCGCCCTTATGATCTCCACGTACCTCCTACCTAATATAGACGCTGTGAGCAAGATGGAGTCGCCCGGTGGGCCAGGGGTGGCGCTGAGGGATTCACCCCATGAGAGAATGAGAGGGTTTATAGAGCTGGCGTGGGCGTTTAGTACTGTTTTAGGTAAGTTTATTGTTACGAGTGCTGAAAAAACTTGCAAGAAACTCAATAGTTAATTTTATCAAATCCATTTTTTGTACAAAGTAATTTTCAATTTGTTTTATTTATTTATACCTAAGTTCATAAATGATTGTTAACAAAATAAATTACCAGCCCCATTGCTATGTACCTATATGAATGTATTTTTTTTTCTAACAAGACATGGGTTTAAAAACTGTCCGAGTCATGCTCTTTGTCAATCCAATTTAGACGAATTTTTAAACTACAACTAACCCTGTATGTTTGGGAAAAATATTTACTGTCACTAATAAAATATTCTATAATACGTTTTTATTATTTCGAATTCAATTTGCATATTAAAGTGTACTTATAAACATGAGTACAAATACAAAATTCAATGATTATTCGAAATTTCTCGAATATGTACTGATTTTACGCCAATAATCCTAATATTCTATAAATATCTATTATAGATATATATTATTGTTTGATTGCAGGTCTATTCCTTTTCCTAGTAGAAATAGCGATACTCTGTTGGGTGAAGTTTTGGGACTACTCATTTGCAGCAGCCACTGCAGCTACTGTCATTGTCATACCAGGTATATTTCTGGTTATAAATACATACATATAAAAATACATATGTTAGGTAGAGTTATATAGATAGTTAGGTAATGATTTGCTTTTACATTCTTGTACAAGAAAGTGTTAAAAATAATTCACCAATTAACCAAATAACTCTAATATGATAGAAAACATGAATGGAATCGAACACTAATCTCAATACAATAACAAAACAAAACGTGCCTACAATCATTTAAAAGGCTAACAAAACATAAGCCTTAACAAATTAAGACTTTATACAAAAGTCATTTGCTTGGGCACCTCTGTCCCATTCGTGTTTCTACCGTGAAGCAGTTGTGTTATCATAGCTGTGTTTCGTTTAGAAGGGTGGGATATGGCAGTAAATTTACGGAGTACAGAGGAATAACACCTGAATCCTAAGGAATGGCAACGCATGGGGGTATTATAGGCGAAACAGTATACCCTGTTATGTCCATGATACTGCTCATGTCTATAGGCGACGGTTACCACTTTCCATCAGGTAGGTCGTCAGCTTGTTTGCCATTCTAAGTTGCATATAAAAAAGCTACTCTCCTTGTGCTGCAAATGTTCATGCACATCGGTAGTCGCTTCCCATTAGGTAAATCGTCTTCTCCTTTACCTAACAATAAAAAAAATATACAATATTAGGTAACTATAAGGTACTCCTTTAATATTAAATCTCTCATTTTGTTTTATTATATTTTTAGACGTTATGTATCATGAATGTTTAACATCAAATTTGTGTTTCTTTCGGTCCCGAATATTTCATGGTAGGCCCTTATTTTTTTTTTTAATGAGTAATAATGGAATGGTAATCCCGCTTGCGCTATCAGTATACGCTGGCGGGGCACCAGTGAGGGATGATAGGTGATGATAAAAGCAGATCAGTTAGCCCATCGTGACGAATTCCGCTAGAATTAACCACGATGGTTTCCAGAGGGAACCGCGTGGAGGACGACTTGATAGGGTGTATTGTTAGCAATGGGTCTGTTAGACCCCAATTCTAACAATCCCATTCCCCACTAAGGTAGGCTCTTTTTATATATCCCCAAATAATAATTATGTTAATGCTATATTTTTTCTTTTATTTTACAGTGTTAATAGTGTTCGTAGCGTTTGCGATACACTTCTACCACTCACTTGTAGTACAGAAGTGTGAGACCTCCGTGCAAGACATCGAGCAGCTGGAAAACATGAAGAGGGATTTGGACACAGCTACCGTTAAGGTCAACATGTTTTGAAAACCTCAAATACAATATAAATCCGACTCTCCTGGAAATTTTTGCAGTCGTGCAATTTACTGGAATATTTATTTTATTTGTCAAGTATAATTAACAATGTTCTTTGAATCCGGTACAATTTAAGAAATTAGCATCTGGTGAACGTGAAAACGGGCTTAAATATAGTTCTTTCTGCTTTCGAGGCTGTTACAGTTTATTTAATAGGTAACTATAAAATTTAAGAAGGATTTAAATACAGCTACAAATTTTGAAAAGTGTGCAATGCATTTGAATCCTAGTATTTGAATCAACAATTTGCAAATTGTACCTAAAATTGCCAATTAGATAATAAAACATGCAGTATCGGCCTCGTGAATGGCACGATTAAGATCGTCGAGACTAAAGGAGCGTACGGAATTTAAAAAAGTACGCCAAACGAGCGGACCTAATAAGAAAAGTGATACTGTTGGAGTGAATAAATTTTTTATACTCAGGTGAGATTGAATCTCAGCCTTCGTTAAAAATTAGCCCTGGGGCACGCCAGTAAAGGATCGGGTTTATTTTAGTAATCAGGGGATACAAAAAATCGCCCAGAAGCTCCAAATAGGTTAAGACTGACTCTAAAAACATAAAAATAGAATAGATACAAATACCTGAATACGATCTGAATATAATCCACTCTTCAAATCCATTACTTGTTGTCAACTAAAAAATATTCTTAGATGTTACACAATAAGTTCAACATATTTTGAGAATTTCGAACAATAAATCCTGCACTTTGAATTTCATAAGGTGCAAATTATCAAACAGAATAACTGTTAGAAGAAGCTTGTTGCCAAATTTTATGTTATCAAATTATGGATTTATAATCTTTGAATTCTTATAGAAAACTGTCATCATCATCATATCGGCCTTTAACTGACCACTGTTGAACAACCAACCTCCCCCTTGGAGGGTTTTGCCAGTAATTGCCACACTTGGCAGAAGAATTGGCAATTCCGAAAGATTGGCAATCGCATTCAGACCTTAGATATGTTTTAAGAAGGACGTTCAGTCCGTCCCTTGCCCTGCCTTAGTCGGCTCTTACGACACCTACAATATAGGAAGGGTTGGTCTATTTTATGCCGGGACCACACAGCTATAGAAAACTGTAAATTAGATAAATTACAAATATCTTTAAAGCTATTATAAATCAATACAGCAACCATATTGGACTCCTGATTTTTTCTCTAGAAAATATTTATGATCGTTTTGGCGTAAGGAAGTGACATATCCATAGGATCGCTCCTTATTACATTTAATTCATATACTTCCTACCCACTCGACACCAGCTTGTAGCAAGTAGGTACATCACTACGTAATTCTATTAAAAAATTACACTGATACAAAACAGTTTTTAATTTTTTAAAATTATGAAGGTTTACACGTGACACTATTGATGAAAATTAATTTTATGACAACTTACCGTAAAACTGAATTTCATAGCTGGCACTAGTTTCATATGGCAAATTAGGCTTCCAGTCAGCAATGCGTGATAAGCCTAAATATGAATGAGCATTTTCCTGTCTTTTAGTATTTCAAAAATCTATCAGTTCTTCCTTTCTTTTTAATTATTTCTTTTAAATAATATCACGGCATAAAACTTTTGAAGTTATTTTGTAACATAATTAAATTATAAAGCTATCGATAAATTTGATGCTGGCAGCTAAATAATAAAAAATAATTTAGTTTAAAAAATAGTTAATAAATTAGGGATATTTAACTTTTTTTAATTAAATATCCACATATGAAAATTTATTTAAAAAAAAGAATTTATTTATTAACAACATTAATAGGTATGTGCAAGACTTTTCATACTCACCTATCGTCACTCAGTGGTGTCCCGACAGCGCGGACAGGGTTACCATTCCACTATCGTCCATCAAAAAACCTGGCCACCCACTGTGTTTTTTAAAATAGAATGTTTTACATTTCTGATGTCGATCCATTTATAAATATAGTTTACTTGCCATAATCAACGATGAAATTACATATATATTAAGTACTAAGGTTTAATAAAATATGGAAATATTGTATATTATTGTTATAACTTGTTACAATATATGCTGATTGATAACGATTAATATAAAAATGTTAAGATAATGTAAGAACATGGTGCTGTATAAATTGTAAATAGATATTTAATTAAATGTAAGTAATTTAAAAAAAAAGTGCAAAAATATAATAAATATAAATTTATAAATAAATATAATAGTTAATAATATAATTACTTAGGATTATTTTTATTTATGTATATAGTTTGATATTAATAGTTATAATTTTATTAGTTCATTTCATTAGGATTAAGTGTAACTTAGATTTGATTTTAGACACCTGGTTTGAGTTGCAAGCCACCGATTTACGGCAATTATTAAACTCATACATATTTAAATTAAATAAATACATAAACTAAGCCAAGTAATAAAGCCACATATTTTTAATTGTACATGCCAAGCGTGTGAATTCCAGAGTCGGCAATCAATTCAAATTCATTCAATGCCGCTTATTTTTTTCTTTATCCAAAATGGATCAAAAAGACTGGTGGTGAATGTGACAAAGCATCACAGAATTGACTGACTCTTTAGTTAAGTACCTACTTAAAATAATTTCCAATCCACCAAAGAATCTTCCACAATAATAATTCTTTATTAGATTCTTGAAAATCCAAGAGATACAGCTATATATGTATGTATAACCATAGATAATATATAACTATACTAGTAAGACTAGTTAATGCCAATATAGAGGTGTGCAAGAAAGTATGAACATGCCCACTGCGATTTGAACTTATCCCCCTCTCAAATAAGCGTCAGCCTTAAGCGTCAGTATACAAACTCTATTTTCGCGCGCTAATTGATGTGATTGATTCTGCAACGTCATGTCTCTAAACCTATCTCTCAACCTAATTATTTTAATTTTATACATTCGTGAATATAACTTTATTTTACGGACTAATGTAAACTATATTTTTAATAATTTTGACTTAAATTTATTAACAATTTAGTCCATAATAATAGCCTTTATAATCTAAGATTGGTGCTAAAAATAAAGATTTCGCTGTAACAATAAACAAAAATTTTAATTTTAGTAATAACCTATTACTACTATTAAAGAAATAGCGCGTCAGAATCGACCCCATTGTATTCTTACTCTGTTACCACACAGAAAATCTTTTTACCAATGGGCACCGATTGATAAAATTGTCCTCCGCTAAAAAAAGTAAGTAGTAGTAACTATTATATGTCTATTTATTTATAAAAAATAAAATAAAATTGCATATTTACTAATTTGGTTAAAATTAAAAAAAAATATTCTCAATTCCATAGAAAAGAAAAGTTAGTTTTCTAAAGTTTAAACTCTACCTAATTACAAAACGTATCTTATCACAAAAATGCTGAACTTACAAGAGATAGATTTTTAATCCACTTTTAGACGACTTACTACAATATCGTCTTTAACATATGTTCAAGTCTTAAGCAAAGAAAGTCTGTCTTATTAAAAATAATAAGTATTTTAAATAATAAATCTTTATATATTCACTTAATTTTTTAAAATTCTGTTTAGATAAACCGTTTTATACTCTCGTACTTGACCCATATTAATTTTGTCCATTAGAGCGGTTATTTTGAAAAATTTTAATATTGTGCAACAATAAACGAATGATAGCAAATGTTTAACAAGAATTTAGAACCAATTTCTTATGTGGATTGTATAATCAGTATTTTAGGCGTATTGAATAAGTATTATTATAAGTGAAATAACTCATAGCCTTTGATATTGTGATCTATATGTAATAAAAATTGTTTTTAATATTGTTATTTTTTTTTTTCTATAATCCATTAAATATTCTTAAAAAATCATCATTACATTCGTATCATACCAAAACCAATTAGATTTACTATTGCCATCTACTGTCTACTGCCGAACATAGGCCTTGTTCAAAATGGATTTTGTGAATTGGCAACAGCAGTTAGATTTTAGTAACGTTTTAAGAGGGACTCTGCTGCCCATCTATCGACAATTAAGTTTCCTCAGTCGCCTCTTACACGCACGAGAACGGAAGAAGTGGCCTATTTTATGCCGAGACCACACGGCATTAAACTTGTATATGATTTATATCCAAAGGCCATTTAATAACCACCCTTAAAAATACCGTCATGTAAATACGATAAGAGATAAAACAAGTTAGTAATGTCCGATATGTTGTTCTTGCATGTATGCCCTAATAGAAATATTTATTTATTAATAAATTCTTTTGGCCCTTGTCTGACTGACTAGTAGTGACTGAGAGGTACTGAGATAACCACTTTTGTAAGTAATATTAATGACAAAAAGTAAAAAAAAACTTTACTTATACATTTTTTAAGTACATATTTTATGTACAAAAAAAAACTTTAATTTTTATTTAGGGCTAAATAACGTGTGATATATCCAACGGTATTTATTATTAAATTTTGAATCATATTAAGAAAACACATACATCACGTATTTCAACAAAACTTTATTCATAATTTATAATTTTTGTACAATTTGAGCTTACAAAACTATATTATATTAAACTTATTTTAAATATACACTTATCATCACAGGGTTCAAAGACAAAATTAACAGTAGGTAAAACTGTCATATATTTTTCAAATATTCTGCAGTGCACATGGTACACATATCTGCCTTGCCAGCTACTGAGCTCTAGGTATATTACACCCTATACTCACTAGCTGGTAAAGCGAGGTATGAATCAATTTCTCTCACACGCATCGTTACACTCTCGTAATGCACTGTTTGAATCAAGGGCATTTACTTAAACATCTTAGATCAAAGAAAAGGCTAGATTAAGTAAGTCTGATCTCAAAACGAAATAGAATAGTATATGTCTAGGCTTTATTATAAAATTTATGTTAGTATTAGATAATGGTTTGCATTGTTACTAAAATCAATTCTTACAAATTAAATGTATTAAATTAAAAATCGTTATATAAAGTTTCTATTCATATTTTAATTTTCGAACTCTGTTATTAATTATATGAAGAATTGAATATAAGTATTATTCAATTTGTCAATCCTAAAAATAAAATTCACAAATTAAAGATAACACATAGAATAATATTCGAATGGTATGGGTACAGCCTGCTTAAAAAAAATTAACACAAATCTGATATTATAGTACAGTAATTTGTTCTAGTAATTATTATTTACAATACTTTCGAATTTAGAATACACACAAAAGTACACTGTTAGCTTTTCTAATTTTATCTCACTTATTTCAGCAAAAACTTTTTGCTAAAATCCAGCTGTTTTGCATAGCCATGCAAAAAAATTTTAGTTGGAAAGCTTGAACAATGGCAGTGTAATTATAGGATAAGAAACCATACCTTAGTCCTTAGAAATAACAACACACAACACATGATGGATACTACATGCGTAATAGTATATCCTGTGATGTAATTTTGCTATTCCAATCTATAGGCAAAAGATAATATGGAAATTTAACATACTCATATATAAATATATGCATAATTTGAATATATTTAAAGAAATTGATAATATTTTAGCAGGTTTTATACAAAGTAGTTCAATTATTTCTATCACACCTAAACTATATTTGTAAAGTTCATAAAAAAAAACATGCATAATGACTCGAGAGCTTATATATGAAATATTATAAAAAAATCCATCACATCTCTATATCCATACCACTGTGTTCAGCAACTAACAAACCATTCCTCTTCTTAGGCTGCTCCTCCTCTGAATCAGTCTTTTGCTCAGTTACATCTTTTAACTTTTCCAATATATTTTCCCGGGGTTTCCACACTACTAGGGACATCTGAGGTTTTTCTAATCTGTAAATCAAAGAAAAATTCATATAAGTAACAATTAAAAATGGATCAATAATAAATTTAATTTCTTTCTAATTTAAAATTTTAATACTAGATATATCCTGTGGGCTTGACCACAGGATATAGTGTATAAAATATGCTATATGCTAAGTTTGGGTTATATCCTACCTTTGTACCAAATTTTATTCAAATCCAATCAGTAGTTTTAGGGTGAAAGAGTAACAAGCATTCATCCATACATCCATCTATCTATTTATCATTACAGACTTTCACATTTATAATATGAACAGGACTGGAAGAATTTGTACAGAAAAAAAAAGTAGTTCTTATAAAAACATACTTTCTTATTATTGTTTCTTCTGGGAAAATTTCTTTCAAATTCAGCATTTGAGCATTTGAGGTTATCACTACATCTAGTGGAAGGACACCCTTCATTTCATTTGCCTCTATGGGTTTTTTTAATGGATGATTGTAGAATGGTAATGCCTGCACTATCTGTATACACTGGTTGGACACCAGTAAATAATGATAGGTGAGGTGAGGAATTCAACATAATGATTTCCAGGAGTGAGCCTCTATGGGGTTATCACTCAGGAACCTTTCTTCCCCATCAGATGTCTGTTCTTCGAACTATGTGATCAACCCATTGCCACTTCAGTTTGCTTATCCTTTGGGCTATATAAATTTCTCTATAGCTTACTGGAAACTTTTGTATACAGGCAACTGTGTAGAACCGGGGGTGAAAGGATTATTAATAATACAGACTACCAGTCTCATTCCTAGCAATATACCCTATCCAGTCAACCTCCATGTGGTTTTCCCTGGAAACCATTGTGTTGAATTCCAGATGCATTCATCACAATGTTCTAACTGACCTGCCTTTTCATTCTCACCTATTATCTCTCACTGCTGCCCCTCCAGTATATACTGTTAGTGCAGGGTTACTATTCCATCATCATCCATTAAATAAAAAACCATGTAGAATTTTGATACTGAATTAAATTAAAACCATGTTTCATTCAGTAGTATATATAATAACATAATATGTTTAAGATACATATATACATATCTGTCATGCCTGTCTCCCATTAGGATAGGCAGAAATAATGGAAGGTCAAATGCTTTGATTCAAACAAACCTCTTTCCCTTCTCCACATTCACGTTGATTAATCTTTTTATACACACTTACCAGTTACGGGTACTTTTAATTTGGCCCTTCTTCAGCACATCACCTATTTGGCCAACATAAGTCCGTCTAGAGCGGCCCCTACCTCATTCATTCTTGCTCGAAAAATCTCTTTCGTAATTCTTCTTTCGTCTATCCTATCCAAATGACCAAACCAATGCAACATTCCTTTTTTGATTCATGTCACTACATCGTCTTTCAGTCCACACTTCTCTCTAATCACACTGTTTCTTACTTTATCTTTTAACGTAATTCCATACATACTTCTCAAAGCTCTCATCTCTACAGCATTCATGTTAAAAATCTGTCTATTAAATTTTATTTCATTATCATCATTATTTCAGTCTGTATCTATTCACTACCAGGCATAGGCCTTTCTCAAAGCCTTACAAATTATGTGACTACACTTTTCACTACTACTATAATTAGATTTCATTTAATTTTTTTTACTAACCTCTCAATAAGGGCAGGTGGTAGTAGAGGTTGATCTTTAATTTTCTTTACCTCTTCTGATAAAACTATAGTAAATTTGTCCTTTAGTTTATCCGATATTGATGTTGATGTGGATGTAGAGGGCATTTCCATATTCACATCCATAAAATCCTCATAAGCAAGACTGTGCGAAGTGTATTCAGATGATATGTGCAAACTATTGAGATGTGCTGCCATTTTTTCCTCTGTTATTAATTGTTTAGCTGGTCTGCAATGATTAAATATCATGATTATAAAAAAGTTGTCAAAGATTTTTATTACTTTAGTTATGGTACAATAATGTATATTCCAAATTTAAAATACATGTAAGCAATAGTTTGTTCTCCTCCATTGCAAATAGTACATGTATTCCAAATTTCATGGCAAGTCGAAAAGTAAGGGAATTGAGAAAAAGAGTCATGTAATAGTTTAGACACAATATGAATAACTAAAGTGTCAAACATAGCAGAACAAGCATGCAAACAAACAAGCAATAGTTGTTTAATTGCATCTATCAATAAATTTATACATACATACATACATATATATATATATATATATATATATATATATATATATATATATATATAATGCCTGAGGCAAATGACGAATGATAGAAAAGAATAAGCGTAGAGATATATAGCAATATATCATTTCCAATACTTACATAGTCGGTTCAACATCCAAGTTCTTCCGTTTGCAATGAATTACTGATGTTATTTTGGTCTCCACATTTGGAGTTTGTGCTGTGAACTGTACGAGGTGAGGCGGTGATTGCATACCCCAGGGTAATCCCTGCATGTTCCAAGGAATGCCAGATGGTACTGGCATTACGTGTGGTCCTGAAATGTCACGACTGTACGGCAATGAAGTTCCCATCGCTTGTTGAGCAAACATCTGTTTAGTTAGTTCCTCTGATTGTGAATATTGGTATGGAGGATATCCATAAACATCCATTTTTATTTTTGTTCAAGTACAGTTCACTGAAAATACTGCAGAAAGTGAAAAATTACACTCAAATACGAATAAATCAGTATCGGGTCAAGTCGAAAGACATACACAATAACAAATACCTTTTGACAGATTCGTTTTTTAAATTGTAGCTTTAAATGTTCTGCAAAAGAATGTTCCTGAATGTTCTTTGATAAAATAACATCGGTTTCGATGCATGTATTCAAACAAACGAATTGGAAGTTCAATTATTATTTTGATTTCAATGTAATTATTAATCGTAATCGAAAAACTAATATCATTAAAGTACCAGTTATTTGACTGTGTTATCAAATTAGGCAACTTTCGCTTTTTATGATCTGAATGATAATGAAAATTAAGATTGGGATTCAGTTGCTATTTAGGCTACATCGAAATAAATTATTAGTAATTTTAGGCTACAATGAATGTTTTTTTTTTCGAACATTATTATCTAATTATTTGGTGTAACTGTGGTTAATTTCACGAGCGATTACAAAGAAACGGCTCAGCAATGAATAGTAGATGTCGATTAAAATTTGTAAACAGATCCGAATTAAAAGCTTAAAAAAGATAAAATTGATAAAGTTAAAAAAGATAAAATTAAAAACATATTACCTATACTGTTTGTAAATATATTCAACCGACGTTTAAATGAGACGTGATTTCCTATTTGGTTTTATCTATTTGTTACCCTAGAAATACGTCATTTGTAAACCAATATGTATAATAGTTATTCTTTATCTGAAAGGATATAATTAGGTTCTTTCGGATTGGTTCCAAAGAAATTTTAAAATCGGTTTAATAATTTAATTTTTAAATCGAAATATCTGGTTTTGACGCTCGAAGTAGGTGTTTCGTCTTTTGTGAACCAAAATCCAATTAATATTATAAATATAACAGTTTGTAAGCATGGATGAATGATTAAAATTATTCTTTTAAGAAAACATACTAAACGGTTTAAATAAAATTTGTTATATGGGTAGGTTGTATATTAATTTAGCGCATAGGATACTTTATGAACTTACTGATTAACGCCGGCGAAGTTACGGGATACAGCTAGTGCGCACATCCACACAACACACAACACACAACACACAACACACAACACACAACACACAACACACAACACACAACACACAACACACACATCTATAACATTTTCTATACGCTAGCCTGCTATGAATCTAAGAATAAGACATTCCTTGTTCTTAGCTACGAATTGACAAAAATAGCAACTGATGAATCTTTCGTCCTCTTTTTCCAATTATATTTGCATAAGAAGAAAGGAGGCAACTATATAATTTACAAGTTTTTGTTCTATCATTCCTTCTATGTAATTCCTTGTTCTTAGTTCTTATTATATAACCATGTTTCTAATCTGTGAGGAACAGATTCTAGTTTCTCTAATCTGTGAACAGATGTCAGATGATTATATCAATATCTAAATTTTGTAATTATTTATACCAGTCATCAAATAAAATTTTAAAAGCCATCACTTTTTTACCTAACTTATCTTTAATAAAAGCATAAATTTTACATTTCTACAAACAAAAATGTTACAAAGTGGTTTATCTATGACTGTTAATTTGAGAGCATTATCTAGATCCATTGTATACGTTCCTAAACACAGGCCGCCCGATCTCAAGGATTTTGAAACTCTCAAGGAATTTCTTACTAAATATAATAAAATACTTATTCTAACTGGTGCTGGAATATCCACAGAGTCAGGTAAATTCCATTTGATTTTAATCACATAGAAGTAACAATAAATAAAGCTCTTCATTGACCTCCATCTATTAGTTTTTTCTTTAATCCAGGCATACCGGACTACAGATCAGAAGAAGTAGGTTTATATGCTCGCAGTAATCACAAGCCTATTCAGTATCAGGATTTTGTGAAGTACCCCAAAGTTCGACAGAGGTACTGGGCAAGGAACTTTATTGGATGGCCAAGGTTTAGCAATATACAACCTAATGCTGTACATTACTCTATAAATGAATTAGAAAAGGCATGTAGCTAAAACGGTCTGTTGGTGTCCTAACAGCATAGTTACATTTGATAGCTGATAACAAAACAATTTTTCATACAATATTACAAATTTTGCTATCCATTTTTTATAAAACTCATTTATAGCAGGAATGATGAATAGCCTTGTCATTATTTTCACGACTACCATTAGTTGCTCTAGAAACATGTCCTGCATTTATAACAAATGAAAAGATACATATTCATAACCATCCTCATATTCACTGAATGCTTTTTAGAATGCTTCAGCTTTCAGAATGCTTCTTTAATTAAATTTCACACTTCAATTCAGGAATGGTAAATTATTTTTACATATCAATCTTATTTATTTTTAAACTTATTATTACTATTATTATTATTTTTAAGCTGTAATCAATTTCAGTGTGAATAACAGATTTTTTTATTCAAAAGGTGTTTTATTTTCAATTGACTTCAAAAAATGAAGTTTTTAATTTGGTTCTATTTTAGTATGTTTATTAAGTACTTCATAACTTTGCCATTTATAATCTGATTTGAAAAATTCTTTTTTATCAGAAAGGATCAACTTTCAGATTGGTCTCACAGAAATTTTATCAAAATCATAGTTTAGTTTTTGAATCAAAGTAACTGGCTTTGTTTTTGTTATTTTTGTAAAATTAAATTTTAAATTATCCATGCATTCATTATAGTGTAATGTAAGCACAGTTTAGTATTAGTATTTCTAACTTTTTCCAAAATAAACATACAATCATTTTTGCATTTTAAGCAGTCATGTATCCTGAGGACTATATTAGTATGTCTCTATATCTTTTAATGTCACCATCATATCCCACTTTATAAATTGAAATATATTAAACAACTAGTTAGTGACAGAAATAAACAGAGGTACCCAAGTAGACAATTAATATACAGTTTGTTTTTTTTTATCATTGATATATTGAATACTATATTGTTTTTTCCCCACTAGGCAGGAAAAGTGACATCAATAGTTACCCAAAATGTTGATAGGTTGCACCATAAAGCTGGATCCAAAAATGTTATTGAACTCCATGGAACAGGTTACATTGTGAAGTGTTTAAACTGTCCATATGAAGTCAGTAGGACCGAGCTTCAAGAGAAATTGTTGAGAGATAATCTGGACATGGAAAATAATTTTGGTATGATTCGACCAGATGGGGATGTTGATCTCACCAAGGTGATTATCAATTTTCAACTCTTTTTTTGAGACTGATTTCTCATTTATTTCATAGATACATATTTTAGTATACAACTTGAGTAACAATTGTCAAATTTCTCTGACTACTTAATGGGGTAATTATTATAATTGCACATATTTTTTATTATATCTAATAATAATATGTTTATTAAGCTAATCTCTGAACAAATAATTTCTTTTTAATAGCAAACAAGACTTATTAAATACATTTGAATATTTAAATTGGGTTTCATATTTTTACAGGAACAAGAGAGTAGATTCAGATCGCCCTTGTGCCCCAAATGCGAAGGCCCATTAAAACCAGACATAGTATTTTTTGGAGATAATGTTCCAAAACTTCGAGTGGAGGTTGTAAGGAATGAAGTCTCTTCAAGTGAAGCTGTCTTTGTTCTGGGCTCAAGTCTAACAGTATATTCAAGTTATAGAATAATTTTGCAAGCAAAAGAGGAAAATAAATGTGTTGCCATATTAAATATAGGTCCTACGAGAGCTGACAATATTGCAGATATTAAAATAGCAACAAAATGTGGAGATTTATTGCCAGAGTTGTGTAGTACAATTTTATAGTGTCGTAGTATTAAGCACTAGGTATGACCTTTATGACATTAAACTATGCTCATTGAAGTACAAGCCTATCAAAAATTTTATTCTCAGTAAGGGCTAAATTCTTTTGGTCATTCTGATGAGATATAGTGTGGGGTTAGTCTTGGGCATATTTATTATTTTGTTTTCAGTGTAAAACAAACAAATTCATTACTAAATATATGTACACAAGTTTGAGATGTGGCAATGGAAAATATTTCAAATTAAATTTGATACTGGGATGATTCAATGTTACACTGAAAACCAATACAACATTGTAACCTGCACATTTTACAACAGCACATTTTATTTTAGTTTCATAGTACGTCTTCAATTTTTCCAATGTTGTAAGTGCTCATGGGCAATAGTAGTCACTTTTTAGGTAAGCTACATGTTATAAAAAAATATTTGTTGAGTTTGTGATTTAAATGTAAATAATTAATACAATATTGTGACAATGGCATTTCATTTTATTTGTATAAAAAAAGAAGATTCATTTTATTGTAATAAAATTAAATAAGAAATAAATAGGAGTCCCAATTTTCAACATGTGACAGCTATGAAGGTAATATTGAATTGGGTTTAGTAGTACAGTCAGAATCAGATTCAATCACAGACATTTGATATTTAAATACTTTGTAAATTCAAGAATTTGAAACAAGAAATTTGTTTGCCTTATTAAGTTGTATAAAAATACAATATTTTAGTATAGCAATTATACAGGTGATACTAGTAGAATTAATGAAACATGTATTATCGCAGTATTTTCTATGAAAGAATGCAATCTAACAACAATTATTCTGAACAATATTTTCTAAGATATTTTATTATATAAATATATATATGTTTTCTGGAATAATATATATATATATATATATATATATATATATATATATATATATATATATATATATATATATATATATATATATTCATATATTACAAATATGCCTTCTCATTTTTTAGATAAATATTACAGATTGTCACATTTTTTTACAAAATTTTGCATTTCGTTTTGCTTGGAATGCTATGCATTTTGCCTATTACAAAATATACAACATTAGATTGTTTCTTGTATATAGCCACAGCTTAATTCGCAAAATAAAATAAATCATTAATTAAATGCTAGATATTAATTACGAATAGAAATATAGATTTTTTAGAAAGAATATGAAATCACATGCCTTTACATATACCTTTTGATACCTAAAATGATAATTTATTTTGTACACATTATTGACAAGACACTTAACTGTTTTTATTGTATTTTGAACGCCTGATATCTGATGCTGACTGTATTTATTCCTATAATTTTATAATTATTACAATTATTTGCTAGTGTTTCTGGTCAGACCTGTTGCAAGTATTAGTAATCTATAAACACTCCCATACTGTATTATCCATACAATAGTTATTTACGTATAATAATTAAATTTAAACAAAAAAATAGCCTGTTTGCACAGAAGTGGTATGTATTTTCATCATAAACGTCAACAAGTTACGGCATAAGTATGGGGTTATATGGGTGTATCCTATTATTAGGGTGAAATTGTATTTAAATTTATTTTTACCACGATAAATATAAAGAAAAATACAATATAATAATTGACATGTCAAGAAAAAAAATATTAGTTTTTCCTAGGTGACAATAGAACCAAAAATACAATTTCATTGCATTTTCTTTCAACTCGGGCACTGCTAAAATTAGGCCTATGCAGATGACAATTAATGTATTCAAGAGGCTTTATTTCTATTTATTATATTATACAACAATTTTACTTTCCAATCTTATAACCTTTAAGGTATTCTATGCATCGTTTTATTACAGAAAAATAAGCTCTTCTAAGAAGAATTAAAGAAATCAGCGGAAAAGACTGAAATGTAAATTTTAATGTAAAAAAAAATTAATTGACAAGTTTACGTCTAGCTACTTTATTTTTTGCTTTTTTATGACAAAATGATGCATAGCATACTTAGAACACAGACTATAAATACAAAATATTACATTTACTGAATTCAGTGCGTTGTGCTTTCAAAGTGGATTACATTAACGGCAGTGTTCAAGTTACATTGTACAAATTTATTAAAGAAACACCTACCATTAAATAATCATAATATTAGATCTCAATCCTTTTGGGATTAAAATACAATATTATCACTGACAAAGCAATAGAAAAAGCCTATACTAAGCCGCCTATTAGATGTAGTACGAATAGATTTCCTCCTCTTAGGAGGCGAAACATACTGTGGGAGATTTCACACAATTAATATAATATTATTATTTATTCGTCGGGTGTTTATTAACATATTCTGAATTATTTTGAATCTATGATTACATAATACTTAACTAATGCAACGTTCCTACTCTATTCATTGTTCATCACATGTTCAAATTATATTTTAGTAAGTTGATTTAACAACATCATCTTATCTAAAACGTACAGTGAGAACTTATTGATACAGTGTAATGCTAATTCATACGTAAGGAGAAAATGTCTATATTTAAATCTCTTATGTTATACGAGTATAACCTGTCAAGTTCATGCACGGTACTCCTTAATGCAGAGCGCGGCGTACGCCCGTAAAAATTATGTGGATTGTGTTAAAGGGGAAGAGATAGCGAGCGCGCAGCGCCTGCTTACTGCTACTATGCTTTTGTTGTTTCATAGGTGTGCCGTGTACAAAGCTGACGAGTTATAATGTACCCTAACTTTTTGGTTGCATTACAATATGTTGTACAAATAAAAACTAACCATCGATTTATATGTTCACAAAACAATCAGAAATTCGGTCAGACCCAAGCATATTTATGAATGGATATATTTAATATAATCCTTTTGGATATTTTTTTTACTATATTACTAACGAGAAATCTTATGTATAACAACTTAGTCCTCTAAAGTCGTGATATAATGACTCAGGGTTGTATGTAAGGGCTGTCCCTTTTCATCAGGTGGCTTGACACTCAACAATTGGTCATTCTGTTATTTAAACAAAAATTATTCACGGATTCCAGTTTTTTATTTAATCATATCACGTTTTATTAGTATATATTATATACAGTACTTTAACAGTCCAATTACCCATATTTCGGGCAAATAAATTATTTGAATAATAATATCAGTGATTTAGAATCGCTTTACAGTCCAGATTATAATAAAACTCGCTTAAGACAATTCTAAAAAGGTTAAAATGCATCTTATGTGAAGAAATGTACAATAAATACTATTACAACTTTTCATCCTAATTTTTTTTTTTATTTTGCTTTTTAAAGCGGTATGTTATATATTTTCGCTTAATCGTTGTACCGTTTTCGTAAACAAAAGTCTAAATAACTGACACACATATTAGCATATTTTTATGTGATGATCAGCAGTGACTATAAAACTTGCACGTTGTTACATAAGTCCGTTGTGATAAAACAGTATTATGCAAACATGGTATTAAATGCACTCATACCTACCAGTTTGGCATTGTCTTTAATACCACAGTATACAAAAAAAAAATTTAGCAGTTCTAAATGATTATGTAATAATTAAAGATTGTATCCCACAAAAAAACCGATTTCAATTGTGATAAAAGCAGTTCTTTTGATTTAAAAACTAAACTACTGAACCGATTTTGATAAAATTTCTTTGGGACGAATCTGTAAGTATATGCTTTCACACAGAAACGAATTTTCCAAATCGGTGTACAATTGACAGAGTTATGAGGTAACAAACAAAAAAATATATAACCGATTTGAGAATCTCCTTCTTTTTGAAGACTGTTGAAAAGTACTCTTATGGCAAATACTTACAACACAAAATTTTGTTACTACTTCATATTTTGATTTCGAAAATTCTAAACACTTCTTTACTATCAAAATACAAAATTTCAGTGATAGTTTAATAAGAATTGTACTTTATGATTATCATAATACTTCTGTAAAGAATTTTCTTTTAATTTAGAAGTTTAAAAATAATTTTTGAATATTGACAAATAATATAAGACATCGCTAGAAGTATGTAGGAACGTTCTTAAACGAAATTTATTGTAATCTCTCGTCTCTTTTACAATATCTATGAATTCAAATCATTCTAAAACTTATCGATGTGACTTCACCTGTTACATACAATGCACTTACAATCATACATTTTCAATTTTTTTTTTATAAATATTACAATATATAGTTTTTTAACTATATTTGTGGCTAATGACGTTTAAAACTCAACACAATACTGACAATTGACTGTAGTTTAAATAATAGTTAAGAGGCGCTTCCGAATACAAACCAAAACGTCGCTATAACCTATCTAGTGATAAATGCAATAATAAATAATGCATTTATAGAAAAGTGCAATAATTTAAACATGAATTCGAAGTTTACAATTAGTGAAAAGTTATGAAGTCCGACAAGTTGCAATTCTTATTCGAATGAGCCTCTTAATATTGAATATAAGTTGGCACAAAGATTGTCAATGTCTGACTGTTCTACAGTGTTTCTGAAATACACTTCGATTTACGATTCTATCATCTTCTAAACCAATATTACATATTTTGATAAGTATGTCGCTTAACACAATCTGTGTTAAAGTATATTATATACAGTGGGTATATATATTACCCATATAAAGTGGGTATATAATTATCATATACCCACTTTATATGGATTCCGACCCATTTACAGACATATCAAATGGGAGAGGGGGAGAGAGCCGGAATTCAGTACGGCAAAATCGAGCTGATTGGAATAGCTATCTAATTCATATATTTTTTTAATTAATACAATGAGTGGCCTAGTTGAAGCCCTACCGGTGTTATAATCAGATGATGTTCAAATAGAAATTTTAATGACAGTGGTCATAGCTATATATACTGCATAAAGAACAATTGTTTATTTGACCTAGACTAGATCGAAATAAATATGGTTTAGAATTAAGGATACACATTTAATTTTTTTTCGTATTAAACCAGTTTTACACGTTCTAAAGACTATATATATATATATATATCGTCATAGTTGTAAAATACTGACGGATCTGACAAATATTACATATATAGATCCGTCAGTATTCTACGACTATGACGATATATATATATAAAGTGAATATATATCTGAACACTATTTGCAACCTCTTTACTTAGATCTCGTTAGCAGAGATGCGGTATTTCGCAAGGCGTATCGTGCGGGCACAAGTTAGACGATATACGAAAAAACCTTCAGATTCACGTACCCTTATAAAAGTTATGCAAAAAAATATCCCGAATAAAAATAAGTAAATAGTCATAGTAGCAATTGGTGTGATTGACACTTATTATTATACTAACTGTATCTTGTAGCTCCGCCCGTGTAAATCAGTACATAAAGTGTTCTGCTAAGTTAGTATATAATCTACGCGTGTTCCAAATTTCATTCAAACACGTTTAGTAGTTTTTATGTGAAAGAGTAACAAACTTTCGCATTTATTACATTAAGTAGAATACAAAAAAATTGGTAACAAAAATTTTGGCACTTGGAAAAATAATTATAGGGGAGATTTATTAGTATTTTTTTAATGGATGACAATGAAATGGTAACTCCGCCTGCGGTAACGGTAAACCCAGTGATGAAAAGGCAGGTTAGTTAGACCATCGTGATGAATACACCAGGAATTCAGCACGATAATTTCCAGGGAGGCCCATGTGGAGGTTGACCTGACAGGGTATAATGCTAGTAATGGGAGTGGTAGTCCGTTTTACTAATAATTCCTTCCCCCTGGATTGTTAGTACTGGGAACTAGTAGCCTCACTGCGAGCAATATACCCTTTCGACTTTATCGCAGTTCCCCCTAGAAACGACCCCCACGGGCTAGCTGACCTACCTTATCATCCTCACCTATCATCCCTTATTGTTGACCAGCCAGTGTATACCGATGGCACAAGCAGTTTACTATTCCATTATCACCCAATAAAAAAATCCCACTAACTGCCATACGTAACTTCGCATCCCCGCAAACGAAACCTTACATGGTGAAGCAACACACACCAAATGTTTATGTAAAAATTAAATTCCAACACATTACACTTACCAGTCTTAGGATCACATAAAAATATTTCCACATTGAAATGTTTTGTCACTACATAGAAAACGTAATACTAGATGCTTGTCGATTGGTTCTTAATATAGTCTATTAAATGGAACATTATAAAAAGTAATCGGCCTGCGGCTTCTTGGAGGGCACACCGCGGGACTCCTGCGGGGCCGCTTCGAATATCGTGAAATCGCGTTGAAGATTTTCATTTAGTTCTAATATTGCTGCTACATTGCCGCATCTGTTTGTAATAATATACATAGGAGTAAATATAAAATTTAAAATTATAATTGAATTTTATATATATATATAATTGTAAATTTAATTAATAATATTGTGACATTTATGTGCATATAATCTATAGTCAATGTTGTTACAGGTATGCATACTAGCAACGTACACAAGAAAATGTTATTTAAATTATGTATAATGCATATATTATTGGTGTGCCTTTTTCAAATAGATAAATAAAATAACACAAATATAAATAACTATATTTTATCCACGACTTCGTCTGCGTGACTGGGGCACAAGTATATTGATGAACGTTCTTTTTTAAAGAATTTACCAGCTTTATCCTGCAATTCCGCGATTTTTCACATGGATTTTGGAAAAAAAAAGCAATGTGAAATAGACTGAAATAAACGAAGTACTGGGATAAAACAAATCGGTTCCTGAAAGAACATAGCTATAAAAACAGCATGCAATTTGATGCAGTATTTTGTATGTGGTGCGAGAACAAAAAAATATGTAGACAGACGAACAAAAAATACAAGACAATATTGTTTTTATTTCTATTGCTCTATTTAAAATCACTCATCATTTTTTTTAAATATCTCATCATAATATCAGCCTTTAACTGTCCACTGCTGAACATAAGCCTCCCCCTTAGGAGGTTTTGCCAGTAGTTGCCACGCTTGGCTGGCGGATTAGCAACCGCAGTTAGGCTTTAAAGATGTTCTGAATATAGGCATATAGAATAATAATTATCCTATACTAACCTGTAACAATAGTTGGGCGCGGACCACACAGTAAGGACAGTCTCGTTGAAGTGCCATTTGTATCCCTCCATTACTAGTTGGTGCGCTCGACATATCATGTCGATGTCGTTCGACACGTTAAACTGTGCCACTACATCTGAGCCGAATAGGTAGCCCGCGCCGCGGGGCGATACACCCCATCCTTGTGTATCTGAAAAGTCGAATTAAAAATATTGTAAGCACCAGTCTAAGTAATCAAATGGAAGCACCTTTCTAACCAGCAGACAAGAGATCACCGTTGCTATATTCTGCCCGAACGCCACTACGCAGTCTCTTTAGAAACCATTCATTCTAACCTGACTTAATTCTCATGTATGTCATCCCATAGTGGCTATACTACACCCCACCTACACGCTTTCTGTTTTTACGTCTATGTAAACAAATAGTACAGATGGGATTACCATTTATTATCATTCAATACAAAAATCATTGGAGCCACATATTAGCAGGCATCAAATTAAAAAATTGGCAAAATTAATTTTAGCAGAATAATGAAACTATACCAATAAGAAAAACTGTTTTTGTGAAATTACAGACTACCACATATTTAAAAAAAGGTAAGAATATACAATTCGCAATATAGCATGCTCATGCCTACAAATAGAAAGATAATAAAATTAGTTTTCAGTTTTTTTTTATTTCATTTTCTCTCTCAAAAGTTTGAATACGATAACCAATTTATGTACTGTGTTTGGTTTCTAAAATAGGGTTTTCTAGATTCAGTGTTTTCATTTCAGATGCATAAAAATAAATTTTCAAACACATCAGAGAATGAGATAAGCAAAGTAATGTATGATATAATAGATGGGTGACTCCATACTGCAATAGCATGTTATTACTAGTTTCCTCAATTTGAATATGCATGACAGTATTCTGGATACTAAAGCCAAATCAGTGACAATTACTTTGTATAGAAAAGTTAAAAAGAAAATAGTATAATAATTTCGTTTGTCTAACAGCACATCTCGTGGGCTATCTTTTACGGAATAGCAAACCAATTACGTAATTCAATTGCCAAAAATTTTCGATTGAAATATTTTGAAAATTACATAAACTGATAGTTCTGCGATTACGTATCTACTATTTGGAACTTCAGTCGCAATCAAAGTGATATAACATACCAATAATTTGACTTATCAATAGATATTCTTCCTACAGGATAAATATTTCTGTCTATTTGATAAAGTTTTATGCGACTTGGAAAGGAAAATAAGCTATCAGCGCACATGACAGAAACTGGTAACTGTTGCCTGTAGACATAAATATTCATATACATAGGGGTAACAAAAAAAGTGGTAATACCTTCGGGATCACTCCACAGCAAATCACACATTGGTCCATCATGAGGCACTTCCTGCTTTCGGTCGATCGTGCGGATCTGATCGAGCGTTTGTATGGATGGGCTGAGGCCACCGTGCACGCAGAATATCCGCCCATCGATGATCGCGGACAGGGACAAATAGTCGAATATCTCTGTACAATACCTATTGAAATAATATTTTTAATAATATTAATAAACAGAAGAGATAAACTTAGAAGTTGCATATTTAAAAAGTAATTAGTGATAAAGAATAATACCATATAATGAATCTAATAACATTATGTTTATGTTCAAACAAAAAAAAAAAATTAATAAATATGAGTTCACAATTGGAGAAGTTGTTATGGTAAATTCAGTAATAATATATAAATGAAAATCAATTGCTGACTATATGTAAGAACATCACATCAGAACCACTGCATCTATTTGGTTAACATTTTTTTGTTGTATTTGTATCGTAAAGATAAGGTTTGTTTGAAAAATCGTACAGAAAGTAAAAATTTAGTACACTCATGAGAAGGTGTGGCGAGTAATAAATAAAAAAAATAAAATAAAGTTGATTTAATATACTCCTCCTTTCTGAAGTATCATTTAAAATTAAAATTATTTTGTTGTGTGAATATGACATACACATAATTGTTGTATAAATGTTGATGAACGCATAGTCTCTATGCATCCTACAACAACCTATTCTTTCAGAATGGCTAGAGGAAATGTGTCAAGTGTAAATTAAGATCAAATAGACATTAATGATTATATCCTTATAATTTTATATTGTAATTGGAAACTTCTCAATGGAAACAACACTAAAGTGGTGGTAGAAATTAGGCCCATGTGAAAAAATATATTATGATTTGATTAAAAAGTTATATTTCTTCATTAGGTCAAAAATTCATGAAAATCTGCATCACAATCAACAATACAATTATTTACCTCCAAACAGTGATTGAACCATATTTCCTGAGGCACTCATCATAAAAACCGTACACTTGTGTGATCTGTCGAGACTCATGATTGCCGCGAATTAATGTGATCCGGTCTGGGTAGCGAACCTAGGGAATCAGAGTTATTTATTATTACAATTTATATGTATAGTAAACTAGAAAATATACTATGTCCTTCCCATGTTCACTGCAATCATTATTTAGTTGTACCTGTGAACTTGTTAGTTTAAATAGCCCAAGTAATAACATATACATCCAATAAATAAAATTACGACAGCAAGAAACTTATTGCAACAAAGAAGACTGGAATAATACACATCTTGTATAGGCTAAATGAAACTAAAAATTTTGACAAGAAAAATACTTAAGAGAAAATCCTTAATATTTTTTTTTTTGTATGTTATGCAATATTCTCGCCAATTTCGAACCAGTGTTACTAATTATTTTTTGCTATGAATAAGGTTTACTTAAATAAAGAAGAAGCCAATGATGAAAGGTTCTGCAAAATAGTCTTTTCCCAAAATCTTATAACACCTTTGTTTTGCAGTAATTATTTATGAAGAAAAAAGAACTTTAAAATAATTACCTTCAATGCTAGTAGTAATAAAAATGTTTCTACAGAATAGAATCCTCTGTCTACAAAGTCGCCCATAAATAAATAATTTGTCTCAGGAACATCACCACCTACTTTGAATAACTCTTTCAGATCATAGAATTGGCCATGTATGTCTCCACATACCTAAAAATTAAAAATTGAATTAATATTCTACAATTTTTTTCCAGGGAAGTAAACATGGTAATAGTCTGTTACAAATGCCATGAACACTTGCAAAATGGGGGGGGGGGGGGGAGGTTACCAGTGTATCAGTATTATATATGCGAGAGGGATCTCCAAAATTCTTCCTTTATTAACAACATTTGAATATGTGAATCAATATTTTATTAATAAAAAAGAATCACCATCCCCTGTTGAACATAGGTTTATCCAATATTTATTTATTATTAAGCAATCATTTATATTATTTATTAGATATGTACTATGATAACAGATAGTAAGATTGATAGTTGTAATATGTATAGAATGAAATAAGATTATATACATATTACAACAAGAAGAAAATTATATTAAGTATTCTATTCTTTTATTTCTTTAGCTTATTAAAATGGTAAATATTAAAAACAACAATTTTCAATGTTTCTGAGTAATTATTTCAGAAATTCTGTTAGTAAACTAAAATGTTAGTTATAAAAGTCATTGCATATAAACCTACCACTAAAGACAGAGTACTTAGTTCAAAATTTGTAATTATAATTGGAATTTTCAATGACTGTTGAGTATAAATATTACATGATTAACATAAAAATGAGGCAAAATAAACAGTATATACAAAATTTTTCAACAATTCTTTTATAAGTAACTATGTTATACTACATATAATAGTTTATAAAATTGACAAATATTTCCCACATTCCTACATTCTTGTAGATGCTTAAATATATTTTGGATCAACAAAATAAATGTATTTTTTTTTTATTATTTGGTGAACAAAACCTACTATAGTATGCAGGCATTCTTAACAAGCCTTAAAAATACTAATAGATACATAATATTATGGTTTAAAGAAGATAGGAATGAATATGATCATTTAAGTAAACTACAATCATTTACTCAAATTACCTCTATGTTTCGACCAGGTTACACTGTATCTTCAGATATACCAGACCATATATTCAGAGTTATTGTTATATCTCATGAAGATTTACCCAACTGTATTTCTTATAAAGAATTATCATTCAAGAACAAACAAAAATTGCACAGAAAAACACAAAAGGTAATGGATCCATTTATATGGCAGTGTAGCCTTAGGAAGTCGTCATAGAAATAGTCATTTAAACCATTAAATGACTATTACAGACTTTTTATGGAAACAATGTTTTTACTAGGTATTTAATAACCTACAAATACTAAAAAATATACCGTCACAGGAGAGTCAACCCGTTGTACATTACTTTCTTCAACTAAAATTTCACGAGCTTTCGCACAGAGCGCCTTAACCTCGGCTTCCATTATTATTTCGCATCTCTTCAGCTGTTCTATCTGGCGGTCTAAGTCACTTGTGTCTGACATTTTTGAAAACTAAACTAATGCAAAGACGATAAATCTGTGAAACATTAAACAAAACTGTAAAAAAGTGGGTAACAAAATCTTATAAGAGTTATATAAAATTGTTATTTAAATCTAATTCGAAAAAGAAATAAAATAGGCCAGCACTTACAAATAATAAGTGCAATTTTTTTAACTAACAGTATCAGGAAAATAAATTCTTTGGAAAAACAATCACAACCTATACATCCGCCATTACAAATTAAAAGTAACTTTTTTTTTAAAGCAAAGGCTTAGCATTGACAGCATTGGCAATTGGCATCGTACAGCAGTGTTGTCAAATACTATGGTCAAATATCAAATTTTACATGAAGTAATATCTGCCATAGATGGTCAAGTACTAAAATAATATTCTTAAATGTAGCATTTCGACTTTGATATTGATTGTGAAATTTATCCACTGAACAATGCTAATACATATTATTATTAATGAATCAATGAATCTAATACTTTATTCCGGTAATAAAGATAAGTGATGATTCAAAAATATAATAGAGATAGCAAAGGGCCAAATTAAAAGTACCCGTAACCGGCGAGTGTGTATGAAAAGATTGATGAATGTGGAAGAAGCAAAAGAGGTTTGTTTGAATCGAAGCATTTGGTGTTCCATTGTTTCTGCCTACCCTAATGGGAGACAGGTGTGACAGATATGTATGTATGTATGTAATAGAGATAGCAATAAGACATTTTTATATTTAAAAAATAGTATCTAGCTCAATTGGTATCGGAGGAATTTTCAGTAATGGGCTTAATTGCTCCAGTTGCTAACAAACTATTAGGTTAACTTCCATGCAGTTTCCCCTAAAAGCTATCGTATTTAATAATTGTTGAATTTGTTACGATGGACTATAATCCGCTTTATTCTTACCTATCATGTCTCATTAGTGCTCCATCAGTGTATATTGATAGCACAGGCGAGGTCACTGTTTTATTTTCACATATTAAAAGAAAAGCTCCATTTGTGTTTTATAAGTATCAATAGATTTTAAAGCGTTAAAAAGAATGAGACCGTTTACAAAGGTATTAACATGGTTTCATAGGTTTGGTCACGAATAATAAAAAAAAAAAAAAAAACAGTATATTATGTTTATTAAACAGAGGCGCGCTGTGTGAATTTTGTTTTTGTTATTGATTTATGATAAATTTAACTGTTTTATTAAACAAATAGTGTCCAGTGTCTTTGTTTTAAAAACTGAAAAAACATGGGTAATATTCATACCGTCGGTCCTAATGAGGCGCTAATTGTGTCAGGTAAAATATTATATTTAAACTTTATAGTTGCAGTTTTCCTGCTTTTTCATCATAATTATAATTTGTAGGTATGATTATTGTAAGCTAAACGTCCAATAATATACTAAGTATAATAGATATTATCAACGTGCAGTATTTTATTTTACCATTTTAAATCAAACACTTGAATTATTTAAATTGATATCATTATCTTAGAATAGAAATAGTTTTTTCTTTTCTCGATTATGCATCTGAATAAGTATAATTTATATACAAAGTACATGAATATCCTAAAAAGTTACATTTTGTATTGCAATATTAAGTCCAACTCATCCCATTATACTAACGTGTGTCAAGGTCAAATATTAATGTTTAACCTGGTGATGTTGACTAATCTTGACTGATTATAACTGATGCAATTATATTCATAAGAGTATTTGTCATGGCTATATGTGTAATTTTTATAACTACATTCAGTATAAAATTAAATCTATAGTTATGACAAATTTGTTATTATCTACTGATATGATAACAGTGATTCATATCTACAGAATTTAAAACCACTGTACTCTCTTCTGTTACTGTTGTAGTAACATTGCACTTTTTTAAGAAGTATACATAGGTGCTTTTTAGGTTTATGATCTTATTTATAGTATATTTAAAGACACTTATTTTATTACAAGTTTGCACTTAATTTTACCTCACCTAATGGTAAGTGATGGTACAATTAAGTATGAAGTGTGCTTATCCAGAAGATACTTATTCACCATTAAGTTGAAGAGTCCTAGCTTTTATTTATCTGGAAACACAAGCAGGAAGGGTATTCATTCCTTTACAATTTAATTAGAAATGAAGAGGTGAATATAGATATATTTTAGAACTGATTTTGGATTTTAGATACTGCATTTGAGAGTTTGCTAGATTTTTGTCTAGTGATATTTAAGTGTTAGTAGTACACCTTTTTAAAATTAAAGTTTTTTCAGGCAATTTAGAATGGTAATTTTTGGCTTTTACTTGTTTTGAAGAAATAAAAGTAATTTTTTTATTAATATTTAAATAATTTTCTCCTGTGAATGCTTAGGCTGTGGAATGAACTTCTTGCCGAGGTTTTCCATATAGATTACAGTATGGGATTCTTCATAAAGAGTATATTAAGGTTTCTTTAGGGTTGGTAATTTGCACATAACACCCTTAGTGTTACAGATGTCCATAGGCTAAAGTGTCTGTTTACCATCAGATGGGCTTTATGCTTATTTGCCACCTTTATAGTATAAAAAATATATAATTTTGGTTGAGGCAACTCTTTTTATTATACTTTATTAATTACACATTATGTTATTTAAGTATATTTTTATTACATTATTATTATGCTTATTTTTAGTCGGAATATTGAGAACCTGAACATTACAATATTACTTTAATTTTGTTTTATATTCTCGTATATTTCCTGTCTTTAATAACCTGAGTAAAACTGGATGACATGTTTATTATTACACTCTTCACATATAGTAAGTATTTGTAACATCTCAGTTGATACATGGGTTGGGAAAGTAACATGGGGAATTAAATTTGATATATTTACATACATGATTCTCAAGACTTTTAATACACAGGGCATTAATGTTTTGTCATAACTTATTATCTACATGTCCATAAGATCTGAGTCTATAGTTTTTATTCTTATTGTTTATTATAAATAAGTGGGTAGAAATATACTAACAGCTATGTATATTTATTGAAATCAGATTTTTTTATGTGTATGTGTGTGTGTGTGTGTGACTTCAGGGAACTTAATGTAAAATATTTTCCTGTTTACAGAAAATTATTTATGCCTAACAAAAACAACCCCAGTTCCTGTTAGTTCCTGTCCTAGGCCTCCCGATGAATCCAAGTACTGCTAATTGTGGCTGTTTACAACCATCTTTATCCAGAATTGCATCCTATATCCTTGAAACTTACATCAGAAGTTCAATATATTTCACTTATAAGTCTGCAGTAATTATTATCAGTTTATATAGAAATTGTAGTAACTTGGTAAAATTACTACATATCTCTTTTTAGTAGTAGTCTCTTACAAACAATTAATTCATCACATCATAACAAATAAAAATAATTGTAATGTACCTATTGAATTTATTTTATAATTATAAGTATAATATTCGAATATTATGCCATTGTTAAGAAAAAACACAAAGCAAGTAATCACTATCCCTTAAACATTAAAGCTAACATTTTTTTATAATAATTTAAAACAAAGAAACTATTAATAAATACATAAAAACAATTTGTTCTTTATTTTCTTTTTCCCGTTAAAGCTTATTGCAATTTGACATTAAATGTCTAGTTTCATTTAACTGCAATGTATAAAGCAGATTTTTTTTAACGCGCTAATCTCTGGGATTTATCTCTGGGATACCAGTTGGATTAGAATAATTCTTTTTGCATTTGATAACTCATTTCATGAGGAAGTTTATTAGGTTATTCAACACCATGACAATAAAGCTAGTTGTTAATAAACCAATTAAGATGTAGTAATATTATTTTATTATAAACATTGAAGAATAGATAGTCTAATATAATTTATTTAAATTAAATACCTATGCTTAAAAGTTATTTTAAAGTGGTTTTGATTTTGTTGGGGATTAAATAATGACATTCCGAATGCCTCTCACTTTATATACACAATGATAATTATAATAAAACAAAAAAAAATTGATCATTTTAGATAAAAAAAAATATCGTTGCTTTCTAGTACTCATCTAGTCTTTTTCGAATTTAACAATGGCAGCTTTCCTGCTATGTAAAAGCGGGATCCGCTTTATAATGCTGGTTCGGGTCATTCTCGGTACTATGTTATTGCATGTAGAGTCCATACCGTATTATTAAAAAATCGTTTAGAAATATCAAGTTTTATACATGTACATTATGTAATATTACCTAGTGTTGATGTCTCAATAGACACAACAGTTTTGATATATGTAGAAAATTCCTTATATATCAGTGTGCAACTATATGAATGGTTACCGCGCGGGTTTTTCATACAATTATAACATTGAAACCGTATGAAACTTTCTAGAAACTATATACATACCTATAAATGGCAAAAAAATCGCAGGACAATAATATAAAACAAAAAATTAAGTATTACTAGTAAAAGTATATTCTGTTGACTTTAATGTGTCGTTAAAGTTATTAATATACTTCTGAACGAATGTGATTTTATATAAGCCCATTTACATTTACAAGGCGCTTTTATTTTGTTCTATTCTGTTATATGTTCAATTTATGATGACTCATTTACTATCCATGTACTTTTTCCACAATACACACAGTAGATATTATTATTACAATACTCCCCAGTCCTGTTTTATCATATCTGCGCCTTTTTCAGCAATCATGTACACTGGGGCGTTTGTATGACTCGATACTACTTCTGGCATGATACTTGCATCGATCACTCTTAGATGCTCTATACCATGAACTCGAAGTCTTGCATCTACAACTGCCGTTGGGTCATCTTTATTTCCCATCTTACATGTACCACTTTGATGGTAAATGTTATAAGTAGACGTTCGAGTTTGGCAACCGAAATATTCATCACTGCCGAATGGCCCATACTTCAGGCATTTTTTAATAGGCGTACTGTAAAGTTTTGCACCAATTTTTCTTAAGGCAGGTTGTTTCGATATCTCGATAGCCACTTTAATTCCCTCTACAATTTTTTGCAGATCTTCAGAATATTCAAAGTAATTCGGGTTAATCGTTGGATGTACCTTAGGGTTTCTACTTTTTAACAAGATCCTTCCTTTGGATTTTGGACGCATTAACATTGGGAAAACTAAAAATGATTCTGTATTACCTAGCCCGCCATATGTTTCAGCATAAAATTGTTCTTCGTATCCAAAATTAATTGGTAATACTGGATCTGCGTTTAACCCCGTAGTAATAAATAATAATTCTAAATCAGGCCAAGCCAGAGGATTGAATTTGTCTTGCAAATTCAAAAAAATTAGCGCTTCACAGCCTCCAGGTAGTGCCAGTGGACCCTTGTGTGATTTCATCCATTCGAATATAAGCTCTGGATGTCTAAGGATATGCCCTGTACTTATTGATATATTTTGCGGCTGTACAGTAAATTGTAATCCCCCAGCAGCTATGTGATCCATTAAATTATATCCCACATGTAAATCTTTGACTACTGGTATTCCTAATGACTCTAAATGGTCTCTAGGTCCTATTCCAGATAACATCAGAAGTTGCGGAGAGTTAATAGTTCCCGCAGATATAATTACCTCTTTTTTTGCTAATATTTTGTATCTTAAACCAAATTTTTCTATTTCTATACCTATTACTTTGGTGTTAGTCTCGTCAAAAAAGAGTTTAGTAACTAAGCTACTTTTGCTTAAGTGTAGATTATTTCTTTTGTTTATTGGATGTAAATAAGCTCTGCTAGAACTATGTCGAGTTCCATTTTTCATTGATAATTGTAAATAAGATACTCCGGATGGACTGGGTCCATTATGATCACCGTATTTGAAGCCTAATTGCTGGGCTGCTTTTACCCACATTCTGGCCTTTGGCGTACGAAAAGTAGAATGTTCTACATTAAGATATCCTTTGTAACCGTGATATTTTTCATTATCAAATTTCGGTATACCGAAATTCTCGATCTTTTTGAAGTAAGGCAATACTTCATCCCATCCCCAACCTTCATTGCCCATTGCCTCCCAACTATCGTAGTCTTCTCGCATTCCTCTGGTATAAATCATGTAATTTAATACGCTGGATCCTCCGACTACTTTTCCACGCGGCATATTACATTGTTTGTTTTTAAAACCGGTACAGTACCTATCGGAGGGTTTAGTTTTGTATCTCCAGTTCGCGGGCGTATTTTGCAGATACTGGGCAAAAAGAGGAACATCCATAAGGTAGTTTTCATTTTCTCCAGCTTCTACAAGTAACACTTTCCAATCGTGAATCTCCGTTAATCTATTTGCAAGAACACAACCTGCTGTACCAGCTCCTACGACTATAAAGTCGTATTCTGAGAGAGGTACTTGTTGATCAGGTGGTTCGTTTTCGTGATTTATAGTACCTTCTTGAATGAAATTCATGAAAGATAATATTGGCTCAATGGATTGGATAATAGTTGGCGTTAAGGCAATAAAAAATATCCATATAGTTGTCAATGTAGATCCACGGTATGGAGTTCTCATCTGGAATAGAAAAATAAAATATGTATTTGATAAATAAGTATGATATATTTTACATAGAAATATAAACAATTTTTTTTAAATGTGTAACTACGAGGTCTGTCCGGAAAGTTCGTATAAAAGTGTTCTGGAATGCGAGAAAGAGGAGTGGGGAGGCCAGGTAAGCGCAGGACCCCTTCCTTATGTCCCTAACAATGCTTCAGTTCTGGTCTGACCGCCGTGCGGTGCGAACTGGCTTGTCACGCCATCTGTGAAGTTACCTCTTAACGAAACCCCGTCGGCATGGAGCCCGCTTCCGTTGAAGAGCAGCGCGTCGTAATCAAGTTTCTCTCGAAACTCGGCAAGAATGGCCGTGAAATTTTTGCCGATCTCAGAACAGTTTATGGGGATGATGCTGTGAAGGAACCAACCGTCCACAAGTGGCTAAAAAGATTCAGAGAGGGCCGAGACAATGTTGATTGTTTTTTTCGATGTTCGGGGGATTGTCCATCAAGAATTCGTCCCTCCAGGCCAGACAGTTGATGGAAAATTCTACGTCGATGTGCTCAGACGCCTCAAAGTTCGTGTGGCACGAGTTCGTCCAGAATTGGCGCGAGAGGGGCGTTGGATTCTTCACCACGACAATGCCCCTGCCCACACCTCTCTTGTTGTCCGTGAGTTTTTGAGTAAAAATTCCATTACGGTGACCGAACACCCCCCCTATTCGCCGGATTTGGCCCCGTGTGACTTCTTCTTGTTCCCAAAAACCAAATTGGTACTTCGGGGGCGGCATTTGGGGGACATAAATGAGATAAAAAAAGCTACGACGGGGCAGCTGAGAAACCTACAACCAGAGGACTTTCAAGGAGCCTTCTCACAGTGGAAACGGCGTTGGCACAAGTGCATTATGTCACAGGGGGAGTACTTTGAAGGGGATAAAATTGATTTACCTGAATAATTGTAAAATAAAATTTTTAAAAAACTTTTATACGTACTTTCCGGACAAACCTCGTATTAAGTAATTAGCAGCATGATAGAATAAGTAAATATTGTTTCGCGAAAAAACTGACTAATCATAGCAAAATACACGGGCTTTGAACCACGAGATATCTCAAAGATACAATACCAAATCGTGTTTTTTTTTGATGGATGAAAATAGAATGGTAACTTCGCCTGTGCCAGGTATGCTGGTGAGGTACCAGTGAGAGATGATAGGTGAGAGTGAAAATGAATTTCACAAGAATTAAATACGATGGTTTCCAGGGGGAACCGCGCCTAGTATTGCTAGCAATATATCCTATCAGTTTGAAGCTGTTAAATTCAATACCTTTTCCTCCTGCCAAGTCATGTGTTTGTATACAAATTTCGTTTCTGAACAAGCAGTGTTTGCTTTGTGGAGGTAAATAATTTTGAAAATCTGTTCAGAATTGGCAATGTAATCCGATAGTCACGGGCGTAGTCTCAAATATCGTCACAAAATTAAGAACAAACCTTATCAATTGTAAATATGCAATTTTTTTTAATAGGTGATAATGGAATGGTAACCCCACCCGCGCTATTCACCGGCAAGGCTCCAGTGAAGGATGTTAGGTGAGGATGAAGCAGATCAGTTAGCCTATCGTGACGATCCGAGTTAACGATGCAATCTCGTAACGTACAAACAAAACGATTCAGGTGAATTGAGAAAACCTCTTTCTATTCGAGGTGGCTTAAGAATAATATGGAAACACTAGATCCCTGATGAACGAGTTAGATTAGTAATTGACGAGCTTATCCGTTAATATCGTCGTATCATCAATCATCCAAGGCACTCGAATCGATTTATATTTATACTTTAGAAAATATCTTAACGATTTAATTTATTACAAATACACATGAAAACGAAGGCGGTCTAGAAACTCTTGACACCAGAGGATAATCCCCCTATACAAGGAAAGGAGAAGATTGTGGATAATGGAATTAGTGACATCGTGTAAGATTGTGTTCCACAAAAAAAAAATCTAATTCAATCGTGGCAAGATAAATTAGCTATTTTGATTTAAAACTAAACTATTGAACAGATTTTGATAAAATTAATATGGAACTAATCTGAAAGTGAAAATCTTAACGTTAAAAAAGAATCTGGAAGATCGGTTTATAATTGACGGAGTTATGAAGTAACCAACATAAAAAAAATGCAGACAAATGGAGAACCTCCTTCTCTAAAAGAGTTAAATATGATTAATTTATTGGTATCATTAAAGTTAGTATTGTACTTACTCAGTACCTTATTTATATATTTTGTAATTACTTATTCATTTAATTACTTACGGCTTAAATTTGTAATACCAAAGTAGGTACTAAGTTGCAGCTGTAATCTTGAATTAATTGAAAATCTATGTAACACACGATGGGCGCAGCACATGCGTGCTTCTTCAATACCACTGCATCCAGTTCGTCCAAGCTCACGGTTTTATTAACCGCAGAAAAACTGCTAGAATACACTGTGACCTTTATATATAACGTGTACATAATTTACGTAATAGATGTATCTCTAATGTAATATCTGCATAATATTGATAATTAATACATGCAATATACAGGATCGAAAACGAACGTACTTGGGCCCTTTTAATGGAGCTTCTACCAGTAAAACTTAATATTTTCAAAAAAACATGTCGAATATAATCTGCACCAAATATAAGCAAATTACGTTTTACATGAATAGGATTCATTCGTAACAAATCAGTAAAAAGTAAATACCAATTGTTTTGTTTTAGCAATTTAGAATGGAAAACAAGCTGAACGGCTCACCTGATGGATAGTTGGTAACCGTCAAAGACGTGAACAGTACCATGGACATAACAAAATATACAGTGTCACATAAGGTTTTCATATTTTGTCTGGAAGTGGCAAATCCCACTCAAAATTTTGTTGCCACTCTTTTTACAGGAACTCTTCCGCACCAATGATAAAAAATTTAAAGCCTCTCGTAAATTCCAAGTTTTAGTTAATTGTTAGCTATGAGATCATTTAAAATTGAAAATTTTTGACTTCTCAAGTTTTGTTGATTTAATTCACCGTTGTGGATGTGGATGGATGTAAAGGAATTTGATTTTATCCTCTGAATAATATCCCGTCATAATCTTTATATTTAGTTGTAGGACACATAGATAATGGTGAAGATTTTAGACAATCCAAAATTACACTACTGTATAGTTTTGGATTGTCTAAAATCTTTTTTTTTTATTACTGGATACGTCTAGTAATAAAAAAAAAACATGCAATAAGTACATATTATCCTTATTAATAAATTCAAAATTGTGTTTGTTACATTTTGCACTTTTACGGTTTAACCAATGTTATGAAATGTGGTACACTCGTTCACATAGTATTTAGGATTGAGCATAAGTTACTTTTTATCTTGGTCACACGGACGAAGTCATGGCTAATGACTAGTAACTCATGATAATAATCCAGACATAGTTTTTGATAGGCAACACAATTACCTAGATTTATAATAAAACTAGCATGCCACTATTTGCTGTTTATTAATAGAAAACATATTTCCAAACGAAATCATTTCGAAAATATTGTAATGCTGTTTTTACTAGACTTTAAACTTTTGCCCGCTATAAATTTCATGTTTCCTATATACAATCAGAATCTAAGTATAACCGCTGCTGAAATGCAGTTGGTTCTATTTATATCAATGTCTGCAGCAATCAATAACACCAGTCGCTGGTCCTCAGTTTACGAAATATACGTTGTATACTTAGAATGAATCCTTGAAGCCATAATACAACCTAAAACACCAGGATAGGAAGGGGGAAGGGGTTAGAGGTTTATTAGTAATGGGGTCTAACTGCCCCTTTGTTAGCAATATACCTTATCAGGTTGACCTCCACGCGGTTTTCCTTAAAATTTATCGTGGTTAATATTGAATTCGTCACCGTGGGTCAACTGACCTAACTTTTCATCCTCATCTAACATCCCTCACTGGTGCCTTACCAGTGTATACCCATAGCGTGGACGGGAGCGCTATTTAATTTTTATTCATTAAAAATACACCGAGACAAATAAATTAATTGGCGAAAAACAAAGCAATGTGTACTACGTTGCTTTGTTTTTTTTTTATCTATATCACTCTGACAAAGGAGCGTGATGTAGCTAGTATTGGAAATAGAGTTATTTCGTCTAATGTTTAGTGACCATCACAGACTACAGTATTAGTTATAAAACAATACCAGATGTGGCCGTGGTGTGGTTTACTTTTAATAAAGGCAATGTCCCTGCCTGTCTATCCATATTCTATTTGTCAACAGAGCTAACGTAGGTACAAAAAATCAAAGATTCACATAAAAGTTACACTTAAAACTGAATTTAAAATTAAGGCAATAAATAGTTAGTATGGGACAAAACATGAGCGAAGTTGAATCTTTAGTATAAATTAATAAGAACCTAGACATTGTTTTTTCAAAAGTAAAATATTTTGATGCAAGCAGCTCAGGACCGTTCCTTATGGGCAGATAATAGTTGAGATGATAATGTTGATGAAAATATTTGAGATGTTTGATTATCAACGTCCCTGAATGGTATGAAAAGTATGTTTTACTACGTCTTTGTCTATTTTTAGTCCCGTTTTTTTTGTGTCTGATCGTATATCTTCTTTTTTTTTGTATATATCAATGGCCAGTAGCTATAGCAACAGGTCAGCTGAGTTGTAAATCAATACATCTTATGTCACATTTCTTTTTTAATGTATTACTAGGTAATCTTGCCATCTCATTGATTTATATGACTTGTATTAATTAATTACATCATTAACGTTTTGGAGTTGCGTACTTTCCGTAAGAATGATACGGAACCCATAAAGCGTTACTACAAAAACATAAAAATTGTTATTTCCTTTGTTTTTGAAACCGATTTGAAATGTTTTTTATATCTGAAATTATAAATTATAGGTTGCTGGTTGGTACAGGGTGGCCCATAAGTCCTTAGTTATGAAAAACAATTAATTAAAATAAAACTAATTACACTATGAATAATATTTTTATTTGTAAATATAGCTAGAAAAACAGGAATTATTTTTTGTAAATAACGTCGTCCAAATGTAATCCGTTACAGTCACGGCACTCTTGCAAACGCCTTCTGAAATTGTCGATGACTGCGCGGCACGTCACTGCTGAAATGCTTGCCATTTCTCTGCGGATGTTTTCTTTTAGGTCATTAATTGACCGCGGGTTAGAGTCGTACACTTTAGCCTTAAGGTAGCCCCACAAAAAAAAATCCATTGGAGTCAGATCCGGGCTACGTGGTGGCCAGGAAATGTCTGCTCTCTTAGAGATAACTTTGTTTGGAAAAAGTTGATGGATAACGGGCATAGCACTATTGGAGGTGTGGGAAGTTGCTCCATCCTGTTGAAACCATGTTCGGGCATTAAAGCCTGGAAAGTTTTGCAATTTTTGTGTGAAAAACTCCTCGATCATGGCCACATATCGCTACGAAGTAACAGTAACAGCACGCCCTCTGCCGTCCTCAAAAAAGTAAGGCCCTATGATGCCATGGGCTGACATAGCGGCCCAAACTGTAACTTTAGGGCTATGTAAAAGCTTCTGGTGCTTAAGTTTTGGATTAATCGGGCTCCAATAGCGGCAATTTTGTTTACTAACATGTCCGTTAATGTGGAAGTGTGCCTCATCAGAGAACATTATGTTATTGCGTATTACGAAGTAAACCGATTAAACATTTCATTAGCATAATTCACTCTCTGAATAGCATCAGTTTCTTTTAATTCTTGCACCAACTGAATTTTGTAAGGGTGCATAAATAAATCTTTCTTCAAAATCCGTTGTAACGATGTCCTGGATACGTTTAATGCACTGGAACGCTTACGAGTTGACTGTGTAGGATTTTCTTCACGAATAGATTGTGCCACTGTGTCGATGTTTTGTTCCGTACGTGATGTCCTTGGGCGCCCCAACCGCGGTTTATCTTGTGATTTTACGAAATAATACAATAAAGAATTATTTCCGTATCAACGTATATTCGATACAAATTTTAGACAACTGCAAAACAATAGAAGAACTATATTCGAATTAAGAACTATTTCTTTTTCACCCTCCTAATTTTTACGTTTACGTGAAAATTATAACAGATAAACATACATTTTACTATTACAATAAATCTCACACTTTTCACATGACAGTTTAACTTTTTACGAATTAGCACAACTTAATACAAGTATTATTATATATAAGAAGTTACATTACTATAATGACAAAAAATAATATTAAATAACAAACTTAGCAAATACTTGAGATCAAAAAACTTTTATGTTTGTTAAATTTTATTTTATTCAATGCTTTTGTAAATATATCTGCAATTTGTATTTCTGTTGGACAATAGGTAATGCTAAATTCATTATTTTGATACAACTCGTGTATATAATGATAACGAACGTCTATGTGCTTGGACCTCTTATTAAACACACCATTTTTAATTAATGCAATAGCGCTCTGATTGTCAATATGAAATGAAAGTTTTATATCAATATTCAGATCTTTAAGAAGAGATTTTATAAACATAGCCTCCTTACAACATTCAGCTGCAGATATAAATTCTGCTTCTGTAGAAGACAACGATACAATTGGCTGTCTTCTGGAGCACCATGAAATAGGACCACCTGACATCATTAAAACATAGCCCGTTGTACTACGCCTTGTTTTAAGATCGCTCGCATAATCTGAATCACAGAAAGCGGTAAGTTTTAGATCTGAACCGAATTTGTAGCACAAACCTTCTTCTAAAGTACCAGAAAGATATCTAAAAATTCTTTTTATGGCAATTATATCCTTCTTTTCAGGATTCTCCATACACCTACTAGCTTTACTAACAGCAAATGCTATATCTGGCCGAGTTCTGGTCGATAAATACAAGAGACTTCCTACGGCTTCTCTATAAGGATAATTTGATTTTTCTTCTCCATAGTACTCTATTTCTCCATCTGACTCTATTTCACCCTCTCCTACGGGTGTGGGAACTGGTTTACATTTATCCATATTAAACTTTTTTAAAAGTGCTTTTGTATATTCAGTTTGAGTCAAATGCCAACCTACTTCATTTACTTTTAACTCCATACCTAAATACAAAGAGGGTTCATTATAAGACGTAATCTCAAATTTCTTATTCAATTTACGTAGCAATTGCGTTAATTCTTCTGTTTTACCAATTACTACTCCATCATCAACATAAATAGCTAATAAAATTGACGCATCTTGGTTTTTATATATACATGGCTCATTTTTTAATTGGTCAAATCCTAATTCTTTTATTTTTTCATTGAACTTTTCATACCATCTTTTAGGAGACTGTCTAAGTCCGTATAATGACTTCAATAACTTACAAACTTTATTTTTTTTTGAATCATATTGTACTCCCTTAGGAATTTTCATGAAAACTTGCTCGTCTTCCCTTAAATTTC